AAACCTTCCAAAAAGCGCAAGAAAAATTTCAATTGTTCCGTCTGTAGGAAACAGTTGTGTCGACATAGAAACGTGAAAAAACAAACAGGAAAATACTCTCGAAATGAATTCACGTAAAGCACGTAAAACAATATCTGTACAATTTACCTGAAAGAAAAGAGGGCAAAACTACTATTGGTATTGAGTGCTGGATGAAAAAAAAAACACTCACTTGTATTCGCGTGTTTTAATACCTACAATTGAATTTCAATTCGAAACTACGATGAAATGTGGCGGATATGCATGGTGAGATGCAATTATGCTGTGGTCTGGTAATTACAGTCCGGTTTCACGTTTACGTATAGGTGATCCCCACAAAGCCGTAGACTAGAGGTTGACCTCAGTATTTTGGAATTCAAATTGTCACTGGATTTTCCGTGAATTCACGAAAAGTGAAAAACTGAATTTTGTGGACGAAACATTGCGCTTGGAAATGCTTTTTCCACTGACGGAAATATGGTTTGAGGATATTTTGGAATGATTGTGGTAATGGTGAGATGATTACATGAATGTGTTATTCTTTATTCTTGTTAGCTTCACAATACAATAGAAAGTTAGAATCCATGCGGAGTAATTATTGTGGTTTGAATTTCAGATGTAAAATAATTTTATGGATTTTTTTATAATCAGGCGAAATGCAATAGTTCACACAAACTTCAGATGGCTGGAAGGGAGCCATCATCAATGACCAGCAATTCTCACTGATTTATTGAGACGCTTGATCCAATGTCTTCAACAGAAAAAAGTAGGAAACTGTGGTTTGAAGAATCTGTAGAGAGAAACAATGACATATGAAAATATTTCGTAGAAAAACGTTGCAAGAATTCCATTGAGTTTCTATTGAATTTTGTATTATTGTTTCTATTGAATTTTTGAATAATAATTTTAAGTCCCACATGCGAAAGGTTTCGAGCTCAAATCCGCGCCGGGTAGAATGGTGCGATCTAACCATGCAGTCTTACATTGTCTGTCATAGTTGTAAACAAATTGCACTCTAAAGACGCTCCGACAATTTTCCGGAAAAGAAGAAATCGCTTCTAGCGAATTGCGAAATCTAAATCACGGTTGAGTCTGATGCGCGTGTGATGAGGCCGATGGCCACTACACATGGCAATAATTTATAGAACTCCAATTTTGGAGATGTAGACGTATAATGGGCAGTCATTGGAAGTTTTGGAGCTTTGCAGAAAATAACACGTTATGTTGCAACTACTGTCATCGATTCGAGTTTCGATCAATCGGACGATAGATATCGACGCGCCGCCATTTTCGTTGCGTGCGCCTTCAGTTTCATTTTGACTGCTGAGAGAACATCAAAAGGCGACAGAATTGAGTGACTTCAAAATAAATTCAATGAAAAATTTTCTCATTTTTTTGTGTGATTTTTTCCATAAAAAGAAGAAAAATTCTGAAAAACTTCATCTTAATTCTAAATTGATTCAACTCAATTCTTGGAATGTTAATAATAAAAAGAAGACCAATTAAAAAAAACGTAATCTTTTCTTGAAAAAATTCCATTCTTGCCGTAACTCTTTTGTTGCAACAAATAAACAATTAACCATAAAAAATTAATTTTTCCCTCAGCGTATGATCCAAAATTTTGTGCTGCAGTTCATTCTCGATACTGTGATATAAATAGAAAACACGATGATTGAAATCCGTTGGTATTGAGTACGTTCTATCCGAGAAAATAAATATCCATGTCAACATAGCTGAACAGTAATGCACACTGAACGAAATATTCAGCTGAATAAATTCCGCATGAAGGGCTTTCATGGTATTTCGTTTGCAGAATCCATAAGCAAACTTTTAGAGCATAAACCCTCACCATCGAGGGAAATGGCATGAAAAACTCCATGGGGCATGTGTCCAAATGTATTACCCCAGAATATTCAATTTGTCGTTGGGAATAATATTGATAGAAATTCGCGAATAAATCAGTTATTCGATTTGAGAATAGCTTATGTAGCTTTATGACCGAATGAACATTTTGTCGCTGAAATACATATCCTTAATGGGACCAACAAGAAAAATCTGAAAGTTTTGCCCACTCAGTTCAACGACTTCGTTTCTTGACTTAACGATTTCAGTTTTGTCGAGTGTTTTCCTTCTTTTCATTTTTTCCGATTACCTTCAGCAATAAAAGAAAATTCTCGATATGGATCTCAGCGGTGGTTCTGCAACTCTCGTCCAGGGATTATTAAATTTGTTTCCAAGTACTTTATGCTTTCCAACTCACAGAAGTATCCAATGGCCCTCGAATATCTGTAACGAGTATTATTTATCAAAATTCGGATGAAATCGAAGAGTTTTTATATCTTCACATCATCGGAATCTAATTCAAAAATTCTGAAGATATTTTTGAATTAGAAATGTTGAATTTCTTTGCCTTTTTCACTTTGTAAACATGTATTGTTAGATTCGAAAATTATCGGCTAAATCAGGGGGAGATGGACAACTCAAGAGGATGACCGGAGTTAAATTATCAATTCTTCTTCGAGAAAATAAAAAATACGACCTTTTTGAGGATAAAACGCAGAAGAAATTTCATAGACAAACCTAGCGAGTTAGATAGAGATGATTCTAATGAAGAATTCCGCAGCTTTATTGCGCGTTTTTCCATAGAAAATGTTTATAATGAAAATAATGTTATTGAAAAAATTATCAGAATTTCCATTCAATCTCTATGCGAATTTTCCGACTTGAGTTTTCCAGGTTTTTTTCCCTCAATTTTACTTCTCTTTTCATTAGAAAAAACTTTAAAAATTTTGAGCTGAGGAATTTGTAAGAAAAATAACTAAACAAAATAAGTTGTATAGAAAAATCGAATTCTATTCAATGTTCTAGCGAATTCCTACAAATAATAATGGACACGTACTTACCGTCACATTACCACCCGCCCCTAAATCTAATTACAATATTCTGAAATTAATTCCATCACGAAATGTCACTCCGTCCTATCTAATAATTCAATTACTCTAATTGGTCGATGCTTACATCGGTATTGAGTGGAACTCAGGGCCAATGTCTCTGAGGCAAAGTCCCCGGGTGTTCTTAGACCTCCTCGACATTCATATAGATACACCACCAAGAGGGCTCGAGTTTCATTTCGAAGTTTAGTGGTTCGGTCCTTATTGCGAGAAGCTTCGCAGTGGAAGTGGTGTGGAATACACCCTCTTAACGCTTGAGAGCCCATAGAATATGGAACCGTCTTGTCTTCCCACTGATTTCCACATCCTCACCCTCTTGAGGAGTTGTAGACTGTCACTGACGAATGGTAATATGAGACCAAAGCTGGGGCTGCAAAAACTTTCATATGTCGTTGGAAAATAATGCACTGGGTTAACTTATCTCCTCTTCGATGCAGCATTTCACGGGATTCAGGGATTTCAGGTTGATAGATATGCAAGAATATTTTACAGTTTAGTGCAGACCACACTATATTGGATTCAATCATTTTCAATCATCAAATTTGTCAATTGGAAATTTGAATAAAATCATGAAGATTCAGCGTCATTAAAACTACATTTTACACAGAATTGTTATTTTTTTAAACATTCTTTGTTTATAAAGAAATAATTAAAATTGGTTAAACTTTCGGAAACCTTTCTTTTTAACCCTCGCCGCCCATTTTCGTTTTTTTAAATTTTGGCTTGTTTCACGACGCTTAAAAATTCTGAAAAAATTAATTGAAGTTCCTAGTTCAATCCTTTTATTAAGCGTTGGCGTTGTCCGTTTTTTTCTCGGGAAATTTGTTTAGCTGAAAAAGAAACGAAACTTTTAATGGACAGAAAAGCGGCGCGGCTCCGCCCGGTGGGAGTGAGTCCCTGTCGACCCTTCGAGCGACAGTGTTGCTACATTCACTGCCACACTTGTAATGCGCGCATAGCGGAAAGCGCCAAGGCGGCAACAGCGCGCTCGGTTTAACCCAGCGGCGCTGCACTAACCGTGCAACGGATGAAGACTGGCGGCCGAGCGTGAGTGATCGAGGGTTAAGCATAAAATCGATTTTTAGTAAAATTCTGAATACGAATAAATTTGTTATGAAAAAATGAGTGTTTGTGATTTATCGAAAATGTTCGTAAAATTTTCAAAAATTACAATTTTTTAATTATTTCATTATTCTTCCTCCAAAAGTAAATTTTCTCTTTTTTTTCAGCTCCTTAAAATGTTTTGTAACGGTTTAATATGGAGATTCAAATTCAGTCCTGCAAAGGTTAAATAATAAAATCATTCTAAAATGACCGGAAACGTAGGGGCAAATGGGACTCAAATGGAAGGCATTTCACTGGACAAAAAATAGCCAAAATACTTGGATATCCTTAATACGTGTGCGTTATTTCCCTCGTGTGAAATATTTCTTTCTCCTGGGTGAAATTGAATGCAAGATTTGGGCACTCGCGGGGGAGATGTCGTCCTAGATGAGTGCTCTCGAGCAGACAATGCATCTGAGGGGTGATGTAGAAGTCTATATAATCCTTCCGCAGTGCCTACTGTACCATTGTCAACCAATAAAGCTCTTTAGAGAAACGTATGGTGCAGAGACGGGAGTGTCTAAACGTCATTACTGTTGAGTCAAATTATGCTGCCAAGCTTATACCGACGGAGACACAATACAAGTGGGTATCAAATAATTCTATCACTGCTTGGTTGTGATACATGAATATGAATTCATTGAACATTCGAAGATGAATTCATGGTTGTCACAGATGTGGTTTTCGCCTGAATATGCAAGCACGAAAAAATTTCATAGAAACACCTAGCGAATTCTTGAAAAAAATCTGTCTATCACGAACAGGACTAAATATTCCAACCAGTAGAATTAAATAATATGTGGCCAAGAGAACCATCATCTGGCATTAGCATATTCATTTATTTATATCGTCAAGATGATACTTTCACGTAGATGTGATGCCACCGTGAGGATGATGTATCCTCCTTTCCTATTGATTAGTCACTAATGCTTGAAATATTCCTCTCCTTATTCCACCCGTTGAATGTAAAATTACAATGAGCTACATGCATGTTTTTTACTGGTTTCTAGGATGCTCTAAGATGAAACTATTTTTCCATCAGCTCATGCCAAAATCTAGGAGGGAGGTTCTGGATCTAGAGTTCTGAGTAGAAAGAAGTACGAAACTGTCGTTTTCATGATCTGGAGATAAGAATAAGAGATGAACTGAAATATTTCATTATCTGCATGAACTTACCACAGCGAAAATTTCAACCGAGACGAGAAGAAACTTGCAGGCTGTTAATTTTAGGGTTTTCTGACTGAGCATGATGATGATTGAGCTCATAATATTTTTATTCGAAAACCAATTGACTCCATAAACGGCCTCACGATATTGCTCACTCTGTGGCATCATAAAGAATTGAATCTCGTTGTGAGAATCATATTTTTCTGACTCACCTCTGTAATCAATGCTGTTCCTGACCAGCTGTAGATGTACGTCTGTGTCAATTTCGGGATAAGATGGCATATGGTCATGACCCATTGTTCAACCGATAGATCCTTTGCAGTCTGTGTATTAAAATGTTCTAAAGCCGCGAAAAATTACGAACGACAATTAATCAACATTTTTACCTGGGACAGTTGAAATATTAATGCGCATTGAACAGCAGCAGATGTTCCCACCATCCACAATATCCAGGGTCCAAAGATCTCTTGCATAGAATGTTGACACATGAGTAACACTTTATACTGTCGGGCACATTCTTTTATGATCATCTTAACATTTTGCTGATCTTTGAGGTGTGTCAACCTGTATGCCATAACCCGAAGCTGTCCAATCATTTGGAATATGTAAAGCGGGAAGAGAGAGTCCGTTCCCGCAGGAATAATTAATATCGATGATGCAGCAATACTCTCGATAAGATAATGAATTCGATAGACAACTACATTCGTAATACTCCAGGGATAGATTCCTGGGTAGATCAATGGATAATTCATAGTTGTTGTATTATCATGCTTTTGATGAGCATATTTCAGGCCAGGTTTTACGATAGACATTGTAGCTAGGATCATGACACCAAGGATAAGAGTCCAGGATAATCTTCGAATTGTGGCAACACCGGATAACACTACGTCAGACAATCGTTCGTCATTCAGAGCTTCGGACCAGGACCGATCGAGTATCTCATAGAGTTCCGCCGTGCGTTTTCGGTAAGCGATCATGTAACTCAACTAGAAACATGGTATTGAAATTTCGAATTGTTATTGAATTCAATTTTGTCACATTGTCGGGCCTACTTTTAGCCCCACTGACACCAGAGTTATTATGATGCTCATTCCTCTTACTACGAGGAGCATGTCCGCTGTATGAGCCATAACGAATCCTAGCAGACCAACAATTGTCATTGAATTCGCGAGAAGGTACGAATATGACAGAAGACAGTACAGAAACTTAGGATTTTTCCGAGGAAATATGCCTCCAATGTGGAGAAATAGTGTTGTTGTCCAGTGAAAGGCAGAATACACAGCCATGTTGCTGTTTTTCGACATGATTGGAGGTAAATTACCAAAGCCAATTCGTCGCAGTAAGAAAATGATAAAATTGCTAGTAGTAGTCTATAAATCGTCAATAGCTACGGAGCTCCATAATATGATGTGAGGGAGGGGGTAATCATGGTCAGAAGCGCAGACTTTTTGCCACTTTTCATGTACATAATTCACAACAGTCTTTGCAGGCGGACGAAACAAAAAAGCTTACAGCAATTTTGCTGTTACCATCGATTTGTGGATCGGAAGAAGAGTCGGGATGGAGAGTTAATAGAACATCATCTCCCGTCAGTTTTACTCTACACGGCGAACATTTTTGAAAAATCAAAGAGAACTGTATATTTCAGTTCCATTTTTCCCTGAAAATAAATAGAAAACCAGAAAATTCGAGTAAATATATTCTGGAATTTTCAGGACAGTGACACTGAATGCGATTTAATAGGAAAAAATCATGAAATTTCAGATTTTACTGAAAATTCCATGGAATTTGGCACTGAATATTCATATTAGATAAGAAATTCAAATAAATTAAGGAACTCTCGTCTTTATGCTTCGTGAAATTCTGGAATTTTACTGGATTTTTGGTGAAACTTGAAATTTCTTTTGTTTTTTCTAACAGTGTAACTCGGTAAGAAGAAAAATTATTGTATGTCTCATCGTCTTTGTTATTTCGTTATTGTATCAGCGATGCTATTTCACATATACAATCGTTTTACAATTCATGAATACATATTCTGAAAATACAAGTTAAATTACAGAGTGTGTGGTTCTTCAAGAATAAAATTCGATCACCAGAGATCCACGAATTTCAAAGCTCAGCTTCAAGATTTCTGTTCCAAATTGAATCCCATGAATCCCATGGAAATGCTTGAATTGCGCAGGCAACGCGAAACGGATGGTGGTTTCCACACTCATAATGTATTAAATTGCTTTTTTACAGGCACCTGCGCTCGAGCGCTTAGGGACCTGAAAAACTATGGACGATTCATTTAATAGTGTTGTTGTTCATGAACTTCAGGTGCAGGGAAGGACGTGTGTCGCGTACAACCTGAAATGTGAATGAGATTGAGCGACTCTTTGCTGATACTTCTACAATGATGTGAATCCTGGTGAAAATAATTTTATTACAATAAAGACAAATCACATGAAGGAACAATGAGTTAGTCAAATAATACAGAACTTGGAGTTTCCAAGTGACATAGATTACAGACAAATTTAATGTTCATAGGTATACTTGATGTTCACTCACTCCGATTACGATTTTTGTTCAATATGTCTGAGTAAGAAATAGTATGATAGTGTCGTTTTGAGAATCTGTGAGAAGAAAATAGCTCATAGTAAAAAGCAATCTTACTTTGTGTTACTTGAGTAGTATATTTCCCGGGAAAATCATGGAATGTATTAGAAGGTTCTAGATTCAGGAGTATCTGGAGAATTTTATGTCGCATTTTTCTCTCGCTCCATGGTTTAAAAATGAAGATATAAATAAGGGTCTGAAGAGGATCCGCAATATGGGTCCGGGCGTAGAATTTTTGCTAAAAGTAGACTTTTTCTAACACCTTCCAAGATATTCTAGGCGAACCGCTATTGATCTATGAACCCTTATCCCTATGAACCTACCATGAGAAACATATTGACAGTTAAATAGAAGAACTTGTAGACTACCAGATTGATTGGTCGTTGACTGAGCATAATGACAATCGAGGACATGGTATTCTTCTTTGCAACTAACCAATTAGTGTGATAAATAGCTGAGCGATACTTTTCACTCTGGAATTGTAACGAGTTATATCCAGAAAAAAAAATCTTCCTTGTTAGAAGAGTGTTTGCCATACCTCGGAATGTAGGTAGGACCCGCACCAGCCGTATATGTATGCCTGAGTTACTTTCGGAATCAGATACGCCAAAATCCAGATCCATCTCCCTATCGATAGATCTTTCAGTTGCTGAACAGTGAATTTTTTAATGAAGCGAAAATGAGGAATGGATTTCGAGGAATGGATTTATCAATCTTACCGAAGATAGTTGATATATCAACGCGCAGAGGACAATCGCAGTTGTCCCCATCATCCACAATATGACAGGTCCAAAAATGTCTTGCAGCGAATCCCGGCATTTAAGCAACTCTGCATACTGCTGCGTGCATTCCTTTATGATAACGTCCATATCTTTCTGGTCTTCCACATGGGTCAAACGATACGACATGACTCGGAGCTGTCCTATTATCTGGAATACGTAGTAAGCGAAGAGAGCATCCATCCCACATGTGACACACCATACTGTTATAGAAGCTATTATTTCAAAGAAAAAGTGAACCTGATAGAAGAATCCGTCGGGTACATTCCACGGATACAATCCAGGATATATCAATGTGTATTCTACATGTTCGACATGATTGCGTTTTTGCACCATGATGCTTGTAATGGGTCTCATAACGTAGCCTCCAACTGTGATAAAGATGGTTGGAATAAGGACCCAGCACAAGCGTCGAACAGTAGTAATGCCCACTAACACACGTTGAGCGAATCGTTCATCGCTGAGAGCTGCAGAAAAGTACTCCTCTAGAGTATGATGAAGTTCAAGTCCACGTTTACGATTTATCATAATAGACGATATCTGGAAATGATGTATTGAAATGTGTCTCAGATTTTAGTTGATATTAATGTATCATACTTTCAACATCGACAACATCAGACTAGTTCCAATAGTCATTCCTCTCAATGTGACATTAATTCGCGTTATATAATGGTAGATGAATCTCAGAACAGCTAGACTGGCGAAACACGATGAGAAAAAGCAGAGAAATGGGAGAAACCGGTAGAATAACCCGGGTTCTTTCACTGGCCACAAGCCTATGCTGTACAGAAGGAATTTGGTCGTCAAGCGGAATGCCGTATACTCGAATATCTGCTCCTTTTTCGACATTGCTGAAGTCAAATTGCAGGCTAAAGACACTCTGGCGAATGCAGAAAACGGCGAAATGCATGGAAGCAAATTGCGATGGACGGAACATTATGATGAGGTATTCGAATCGCGAGGAGAGGGTGAAATTGCGAGGGAGCGGAGTACCGCGTGGCCTAGGCCACACGTTCATGATTTATGGCAGTGCATTCCGAGGCACATGCGATGGAGGAGAGCAGAGCAGGACATAGGTTCTTCAGGGGTACCGCTTGCAATATTTTGAGTGCTAGTGAATCGAGGTAGCGAGAGGAAAGGCACTGAAAGGTGTTTGCATAGAAAAATTTGCAAAGAAAAGTCAATCAGTTGAGTGATGCAATCTCTGATTTATGATGCATCTCAAGTCACCGCCATCCGAAAGGATTCAGCTGGAGCGGTCGTTGGTGAACTACGATGACGATTGAAGGTAATACGGGTTCTTCAACAGTTCCACTTGTGTTATTTTGAGTGCTACTGAATCAAGGGAGTCAGAGGGAAACCACCCAACGGTTTTTGGCCAACTCCTTTTCAGCTCGAGTTTGAACATTGGAAAAGGAAGAGCTTGGTATATATTTTTGTAATACATCTCAGGAATTACATTGGAATACACCTTTATTCATGTGCTTTCTTCGAGAGATATCACTATGCTGATGACTCATCCAGGCGGAACACAATTTTCACTATCAAGAATTATAGACAAGGTCGAATTGGATAATGTTCGGCACACTGGAGATTGTTCAGGCTCACCCGGATTTTTTCTCCATAGCCTTGAGCAGACCAAAGTAAGATACTGTTGTTTTGAGAATCTGTGAAAAAAAAAGGAATAAGTAGGGATTAAGTAAGTTTTTGATTAAGTGCGCTAACCATAACAAACATATTCATAGATATAACGGAAAATCCGAAGGGTTTCAGGTAAAGTGGTCGTTGATTAAGCATAATGATGATCGACGACATGATTGTCCTTTTTCCAAGCCAGTTGATATCGTAGACGGCTTGATGGTATTTTTCACTCTGTAATTGGAGCACGTTCATCCATGACTTTATCAATGAAATTAATCAAGTTAACAAAAGATTAAGTTACTTGAGTTATGAGGGATGTTCCAGACCAGGTATAAATGTACGTTTGAACCGTTTTCATGATCAAATAATTAATGATAAAAATTCCTCGTACTATAGAGATGCTTGTCATCTGTGGCGTAATTTAGAATGCCAATGGAATGCGGAAGACGAAGAGAAAAGTTGATGAAATACTTTACTTGAGACAGTTGGAACATCAATGCACACAGGACGATAGCATTTGTTCCCATCATCCACAATACAAGGGGCCCAAAAATATCTTCTATCGAATCTCGACACTTGAGTAATATTTGATATTGCTGAGAACATTCCTTTATGACTATTTGAATATTTTCCTCCTCGTTGAGGTGTGTCAAACGATACGACATTATTCGGAGTTGGCCTGTCATTTGGAATATATAAAGAGCAAAAAGGCCATCTACTCCGCACGTAACACAGAACATACTCACTGAAGCCAATATGTCGATGATGAAGTGAATTTGGTAAAGAACTCCATATTCAGAAGGATCCCAAGGGTATAATGCAGGGTATATTAAGGAATACTTCACAGGTTGGACACCATGACGTTTTTGGTTTATAATACTCATTGACGGCGTGAGGATGAAAACCACAACCCCGAGACCAATAGTAAAAACAATAATGAAACATATCCGACGAACAGTGGTGGCACCAGCTAACATCAGTTTTCTCATTCGCTCGTCGCTGAGAGCTGTGGAGCAGTAGTCATCTAGGATTTGATGGAGTTGTGTTGCGCGTTCACGTTGACTGATTATACAAATTATCTAAAAGCTCAGTACTGAAATATCTAGACAGACTCATTTCAAATAGAGATCCGCCTTACCTTCAAGATCACGGTTAAATAACTAGTTCCGATGCTCATGCCCCTTACTACGATAGCAATTCGCGTTATGTGGTGTAAAACAAACATCAGAATACCAAAACCCGTGATAGATAAAACGATAATGAAAAGAAAAGGTAAACGACTGTAGAATGAACCCGGATTTCCAGACAACCAAAGACCCGCTACAGAGAGTAGCGTCTTTGTGGTTTGGTAAAACGCGACATACTCTGGTAATTTGGAATTCGCTGACATTATTGGGAGGAAATTGCAGGCTCAATACACAAAATAAGAAGCTGTTGTCGATAACTGTCGAAGGGAATATGCAGAAGTCGTAATGATGGATTGGAATCGATGGTCGAACAGAACCAGGTGGTCGATTCGGACGTTAATAAATCATGGAAAGACATTTTCGGAGAACCATTGAGGGGACGGAGCTAGTAACTGTATGACTGTAGACCCATACACTGATTCTAATGACTGTGATATTGTCATCAATATGGGAATCGATGAATCGAAGAACTAGCTCGGCATGGGGTTTGACAGTTTCGTCTGCTTGATATCGGGTCAGTCATATTATGAACTCCTTTTATTGGCAATAGCATGAGCTGTAATACTTGAAGCTTTTTTGAAATTTCTGATATGTATTTCATGGTTTCGCAAGAATTCCAGCAATCGCTTTCCAAAAATCTTTCACGAGTACTCGGATTAATTGACATTTCTCTTACTGCGAAACGCTGAAAAATTTTTACCTCCTAAAAACTGACCTAATGGATCAAGGAAGTGACCATAAATAAAGTTCATATCTCAGTGAATCCTCCACCTTCGTTTTCTACTAAATACACTACTATGACAGTAATCTACTTTTATCAGATTAAATTCAGAATTCACATGTTAACAATACAGGCTCTGTACTTCCTTTGTCACTTCTACTACTATACCGATGGCTCTTACGACAAAGCCAAAAGACTGATTATTATACACAAGTCTGATTTTAATGATGATGCAGGTATCGGAAGGTCTGTTGATTCTTCAAGACTTTTGTTCCACAGTTCTGAGCAGACAGAAGTAAGATATCGCTGTATTGAGAATCTGCGAAAGAAAGAGGCAATTAGGAAGATATAAGATCTTTTTATTATTTCTTTCGCCTCAAATTCTTTTAACAAAATGATTATGTATTAAAACGGGTCGCTTTCTTAACAGTATGTTCACGTTAACTCACCATGACAAATACATTCATGGATATAACGGAAAATCCGAAGGGTTTGAGACGAAGTGGTCGTTGACATAGCATAATGATGATCGAAGACATGATCGTCTTCTTCCCAAACCAATCAATTTCGTAAATGGCTTCCAGGTATTTTTCACTCTGCAATGACATAAACTATCAAATCCTGAACACCTTCATCAATTGACATGATTACTTGATGAATGAGAGATGTTCCAGACCACGTATAAATGAATGTTTGCGTCATCTTCATAGTAAGATACGTCAAAATGAAAATCACTCGGAATATCGATATATTTGTTATCTGCGGGAGTATCAAAACCTCAATAAAATGCAGAGACGCAAACAAAAAAACACGTTACTTGAGACAGTTGAAATATTAACGCGCATAGAACGATGGCATTTGTCGCCATCATCCACAATACAAAAGGACCAAAGATGTCATCCATAGAATCTAGACACTTGAGTAACATTCGATATTGCTGGGAACATTCTCTTATGACAATTTGGATATTATTTTTCTCTTCAACATGAGTTAAACGATGTGACATCACTCGGAGCTGACCTGTCACTTGAAATACATAAAAAGCGAAGAGACCATCTACTCCACAAGTAACACAGAATAGACTCACAGAGGCTAATATTTCGATAATGAAGTGAATTTGATGTATAACACCGTATTGAACGGTATCCCAAGGATATACTCCAGGATAGATCAAAGAATACTTGATAGGTTGAACTCCATTGCGTTTCTGGTTAATTATGTCAATAGTTGGTGTTACAAAGTTAAGAAAAACTGTGAAGGAGCTGGCAAAAAAAAGAGTAAAGCATATCCGTCGAAGAGTGAAGATACCAGTTAACATGAGATTAGTCATATGTTCATCGCTGAGAACTCTAGAGAAGTAGTGATCCAGAATTTCATGAAGCTCAATCGCACGTTTACGCTGTGAAATCACACAGAATATCTGGAAGCACAATATCGAAATACGTCAAGGAGCCAGTCTGTCTAGAGATGCCCCTTACCTTGAGAATAACGCATAATAAACTGGTCCCGACGCTCATGCCTCTCACGACAACAGGAACTCGCGTTATGTGATGTGAGACCAATGCCAAGATACCAAAACTTGTGATAGCCGAAACGATAGCAAAAACGAATGGCAAAAGACCATAGAATGAACCTAGCTTTTCAGGTAACCAAAGACCAGAAACATAAAGCAGTGCTTTTATTTTTCTACGAAAAGACAAGCACGCCGCCAGTGTAACATTTGTCGTCATGATTCAGGGAAAATTGTAGGCTAAAGCCAGTTTTGAAGCAAGAGGCAATTGTTGCTAGTAAAGGCCTGATGGGTATGCACCAAACCATAATGACGTGATGAAATCAATAACAAAGGGCTGCATTGTAAGGGCGAAGAGAACCAGGTGGTTCCTTTACACGTATATAATTCACGAGAGTATTTCCCGGGCGCCATGCTGGGTGAGAACAGTGACAGTATTTCCTGTGACGTTGGAGCAGATTTAAGAATCGATGAGTAGAAGCGGAAGAAGAAAACATAACATCAGACGTTATCAATTGATTCAGCCATGTAGCCCGTTGTCGAGAAACAATGTAACAATTAAGAGTGAGATGTAACAATTCATCCTCTTCTGGACGAGTAACTATTTGGATGTTTTTCTGTTGCAAGTGAGACTCTGCAGACCCTTCGCAATCATACCTTGGTATGGCAACATCGTACAGTACTTTTTTAGTAAAAAATGCGTACCTCTAGTCAAGTGTCTGTAGTAACAAGTAATATGATGAAGTAGTTTTCATTACCTGTGTGAACATTGCAATGTTAAAGGTTCGCTCTTCGCGTTAGCTGACCAAGGAAGGCATACTCACAAATACGAACATGTTGAGAGAAACATCTGGCATGTGCCCTGCTCTGATTATCAACGGTCTCTGCATGAGTATTGTTAAAACTGTATTCATGAAAGTTCTATTACCAAGCCATTGAGAACAATAAACTTTTTCCAGAAAGTTTTCACTCTGTATAAACAAATGAGAAGTCCATGAGAAGGATAGCTTATATTGGGATTTGGTAAGTCACCTGTCCTCTTAGATTAGTTGCTGACCAGCTGTACGACCAAACTTGAAGTGTTTTGGCGATTCCGTGAGCTGCAAACCTCAATTTTTGCATATTAGTCATCGAGTCCATCTGTAAAATGTGAAAGGGTACTAAAATAATCGAGTGATACAGAACTATCTTCGATTACCTGTGTCACTTGCCAGGCAAGTGAACAGAGTGCAACTGGACCCGTGACAGCTATGAAAACGATGATAGGTCCATAAGTTTTCTGAACGATACAGCGACATTTGATGAGGGTCCTGTATTGGATGAGACATTTATGTAATATGTTTCCATAATCACGCTCGTAGCGCAGATTCGTGATGGCATGAGACATTCCACGCAGTGGAATAGTCATTTGAAGGATGGTGAATGAAAACAGAACATCAACCAGAGCTCCCACGTAGAAGTTCCACATTAGGCTATAGGCTTCGAAACCAAAATGAAGTCCGTGAACAAATTGATTGGTGGATACATTCCACGGATATGTTCCTGGGAGTATTAAACTATACTTGATGGGATGAATATCGTGCTTCATTTGATAGACAACTGATACCAGTGAAGTAATTATTGGTATTGTTCCACTGAAGGCACACAAACTTGCATGGACACGGAAAAAACATCGGAATATTCTCACATCATCTAGCACAAATTTTTTCAGTTCTCCATCACTAAGAAATTGATTGCACAGATCGGTGACTGTTTTGTTGAACCACAGCATTTCTTTTCTGTATCTGGCGATCCGCAATATCTAGATGGACAACATTACGATAGTCAATTTTGCCGTTCATAATAATGAAGTAGGATTCAGTACGGAAGTTGTGAAGGGTAATGAGTTATTAGCGATGCCGCAAGACAAGACGAGACAAAGGATAGAGCAAAAGAAAGGACAAAAAAATCCTGAGGATAAAAAAAAGAGGGATTGCTCACTTCTTATCCTCATTCTCTTGTCTTATTGAGATTCTATAATTTCTCGTTACCTTTTACCACATCACGACTCATCTGATCCGTCATCTACCTTTAGGATACACAGAACATTAATCGTAATAACACCAGAGCACACTGTTACCAGCCTGGCGTCGTTGACGTGATGAGCAATTGAATTAGATATTATGAGTATTGCATAAATATAAAGGCTCACGAGACAACAAGGTATCAGGCGATAGAAGAAACCCGGATTTTCGAATGGCCAAAGACCCATGTAGAGTGCGATTTTCCGCATTGTCTCGCGAGTCTCGAAAAACTCTTGCACTCGTTGATCGTCTGACATTATTTCATACGCAAAGTTACTTGGCAGATGACCAGACCTAGGGAGGGATGCTCAAGTTTCACGCACAATTGTCTACGCATGGAAAACTCAAAGTGCGTTTTTTCCCTCACCAGTCTATTTACCTCGAACTGCAATTGACTGTATCGTTGTCATCGAATGATACTTCATGATGATATGACCAGGTATGTATTGCATTATATTATGAGGTTGGTATTAGAGAGGGGCGGCAGAAATGTAAAGGTTTTCTGACGATGCCAGTTTCGTTACAACTGTCCTATAGAACACAATTCTTTCCGCGAAATTTGTTTTTCGATCGGGAGAGGGGTACAGAAAAGTTAGGAGTAATTTGGAGTTGGTGATGAAATGACCAGTGAAGTGAACTGAAAGTTCAACAGAATATTACTGATTCATATTAGAACATTTTTATAGTCCACGCAATAGGAGGATCTGTTAGTCAGCAAATTGCACAGAATATTGAATATTCTTTCGGTTGTGATGGTGTGATTATGACAAACTCCTTGGCTCGATAACATCTGCGGATATCTTCAATATTCCACACATCCGGACACTTTTTGCAGCAATTAGTTATATAATGCAGTGGTCTTCATCACCTGTGTGAAAATTATGATAGTCAACCTTTTCATCTGCAGCGTATTTGATGATTGAAGGCACACTTACAAATGTGAATATATCACCAGAAATATTAGGCGAGTGGGTTTATCTGGTTGTCAATAGCCTTTGGATGAACAGTAATTCAGAACAAAGAAAAACGAAAGTAATGCTGTAAAGGATTGAACTAAAGAGTGGTAAATTGAAATAATGAGAGACTTTGGATTGACGACTTAATCACTAGCGAAGTGAATCGAAAGTCCATCAAAATGGTAATGATTCATATCAGAAAATTTTGCAAAGCCCATGCAATCCGAGAACTGGTGAGACAACACAGAACATTGAATATTGGGACAATCCTTCCAGTCACAACTTGATACGCGAAACTTTCATAGCACATCCTTGATCAATTTGTTACTCATTGAGCTGATTTTTGTTCCATTGTCTGTAGCAATAAGTAGTATGATACAGTTGTTTTCATCACCTGCATCAAAATTGAAGTATTCATTTTTTTCCCTGTAGACCGATCTGGCGACGGGAGGCATACTCACAAAGACGAACATGCCAAGGGAAACATCGGTCATGTGGCCCGCTTTGATCGTCAGTGGCCTTTGAATCAACATCGTCAAGACTGTATTCATGAAGGTTCTACTACCATACCACTCGGATGAATAAACCTTCACGAGGAAATCTTCACTCTATTTCAAGGAATAAAGGACCAGTCATAAAGAACATGATGCATTTTAGCAATTGGTAAATCACCTTTCCTTTCAGGATAGTTGCAGACCAACTGTACGAGAATACTTGTAGTATCTTAGCAACTCCGTGAACTGCAAATCTAAATTTCTGAAAATTGTTTATCGTCTCCATCTGTGAATCAAAGTAATATTAAAATGCTCAAATAATTAAAATCAATCTTTAGTTACACTCACAGCAAAAACAAATATCTGAATTTCACTTACCTTTCGTAGACATTGTTTAGACACTAAAAAACGTCTGAATAAAATGAAAATTCGTCTAAATTTCAAATATGACTTACGATATTTAGGCATCTGTTCGTCTGAAATTCAGACAAATTTTCATTTTATTCTGACGTTTTGTATTGTCTGGCAAATGTCTATAAAAAGTGTGTGAAATTCAGACATTCGTTTTGCTACGCTATTAGAAGAAAATTGAAATTTCAGATTCCCTTAACAATTCAATGAAACTGCACACTTTTGAGCAGCATTGCGATGAGAATTCCTCAATCTATTTGATTTTTCAATAAAATGATGAATATTCAGCACCGAATTACGATCAACTTTCAGTATATTAAAAATGCAAGGATATATTTACTAGAATTTACAGCTGTTATTGATTTGCCCATGAAATTCTCAATTTAAAAAAAAAATTAAAAAGTATGAATACTTCCAGAAAGTGTACAGGAAGTTTCAGCAAAAATATTTAAGAGTATACCTGTGTGACTTGCCAAGCAAGTGAGCAGAGCGCTATGGGACCAGTGATGGCAACACCAAGTATGATAGGTCCATAGGTATTTTCAATAATATTCCGACATTGTATGAGAGTTCTATATTGAACAAGACATCTATGCAATGTGCCCCTATAATCGTTCTGGTCGCATATATGTGTTATAGCATGGGACATTCCACGCAGTGGAATCGTCATCTGAAGTAGTGAAAATGAGAAAAGAACATCGACCAGAGCTCCCACATAGAAAGTCCACATGAGCGTGTAAGACTCAAGACCAAAATGAAGTCCATAAATCAATTCATTGATGGATGCATTCCAGGGATACATTCCCGGAATTATTAAATTATACTTAATCGGATGAATATGATGGATCTTCTGATTCATAACTGATACCATCGACATAACTAGAGGTATAGTGCCACTGAATCCACACAGACTTGTGTGAAACCAGAAAAAGTATCTGTATATTGTCACATCACTGAGCACAAATCTTTGTAATCGGCCGTCACTCAGAAATTGATTGCAAAGCTCATCGATTGTTTTGTAGAACCACATTATTTTTTTCACATTCATGGCTAGACACAATACCTGAACCAACAATATTGGGGATTGATGAGTACGTTTTGAGTCTCTATAACGATTGACGATAATTGATCTACCTTTAGCGCGCACAATAGATAGACAGCAACTACTCCGAAACTCAGCGTAATAATTTTAGCATTATCAAGATGATGAGCAATAGAGTTCAATATTATCATAATTGCATTGAAATAAAGAGTCACAGGTACGTAATGTAGGAAACGGTAAGCGAAGCTAGAATCCTCAGACGGCCAAACGCCCATGAAAAATACAAGTTTTTGAATAGTCTTGCGAATCAGGAAGTACTCCTCAGCTCTTGGATCGTTGGCCATTGTCCCGGATGTAGAAGTACTCGATGAATATCGGAAAGAATTGATAATATACGAACTGTAAAATGTATCTTCGCATGTGAAACGATGAGTGCGTTTTCCTCTAGACAGTTGTTTTCTGCGTAACTGCAATCGACTCTATCGTCGTCATTGAATAGTTGTGCGTAATGATGTACTGCACATGCATTACGATCGGAAATAGTCAAAAGAGTGGGAGGGGGGAAGTCAGCAAAACGGGGATTCCCTTCCAGTGCTAGTTCTGTTGGAGCTGTCCTATGGCACGATTATTTATTGCAATATTCTACAGAGTCAAGTTTTATCGTATGATCTTTCATGAGTTTTCAATTCAGAAATTGTGGACATTGGAAATGTTATACATGAAAAATAAAGAGAAGACTGATTCCTTTTGCTTTGAAGATGATTGCTGATAATAGAATGAACGTTTTGACATACTACAGAACACTATCTCTTCTGATTGCAAAGGACATTGTTCTTAATGGATTGGTGTTCCAAGAGGTGTTTGCTGCAGAAAAAAGTAAGAAACACAGTAAGTTTGATTTGTTATTCGAAACTCATGGTTTTAGTTATTGGCAAGACTTTCTTTCTATTTTTTGCTTCTATCTAGACAAAATGGCGCCTTGAGTGGTGAATGAAGATTTTACGGTTCCGGAGCTATGGTTTTTAACCCCTCACGTACGGGCTCGGTATGTCATACTGACCCATGCAAAAACGCACGGCTCTTTTCAACATTAAATATTTCCGAAACTATGGCAAATAATACAATCGGACTGATACCATTGGGAAGGTGAATACTGTAGCTTCAATTATATATTTTATTTATAATTTTTCATTCATCAGAAAATATGGGATGCGAAGAGTATTGAGCGTGTGGTAGACTTGATATCAGAAAGCCCCGTACAATACAGCTGTTTCATTGTTCTCACGAAACAAAATTCAATGAATAAGCAGTATTGAATCTGTGGAACCGTTGTAAAAATCGCAAATTACAGAAGTTCTTTTTATTGGATGTGCACTAACGTATTTCACGAAGCTTCATCACAAATTGAGAATTTTTTTTTTCCGTCACATCTGCATGTCAAATTTCTGCTTTCTGCTTCCGCTTCTCGAACTGGATAAAAAATATAAACTATCTTCTGCAAGTTCGAGGAAATATTTCATGTGCAACGCAGGTGCGAAAAGACAGTTTCGTGTACGCGTGAACGTTGATCCTACGATTGCTTTTCCTCGAATGTCTTCAATAAGAAGAAGTATGAGACAGCCGTGTTCAATGTCTAAAATACAAAAATCCATGAGCAGAAAAATGTAATTATGTTGAAGAAAATATCTATAACATTATACCATGATAAATATATCATTAGATACGACGACGAAATGGGCAGCTGTGATTTGGAGAGGTTTTTGTGCCAGCATTATCAATATTGATGTCCTGAAACGTTGTGTACCACCACCTGGCCAATCACTAAAGTACACGGATTCAGTCAGAGCTTCACTCTAAGCAGAAACAATAAATTTCATCAATATCAATTAAATAAGTCCTTACGCAAACATTTTCTTGAGTGATATAGTGACCGCTCACAAAATTGCAGGAAATTGGAAGATTCTTCAGACAAGAATGAAATTCTGAACACAAACTCGACACGGATATTTTCCAAACAAATTGTCCGCTCATTGAAAATCTCTCAATTAATAATCTTCAATCTTCATACCATTCACTGCATTGATCAAAAAAAAATTGTGACTAGAATTGCTTTTTGATCGATGCGATAAAGGTTCAGATGATTGAAGCAAGCTGTAACGTTCTTGAGAAGAAGAGGAATAATTTGCCAAATAACTCATTCGAGTGATGATTGCTTGAATAAGAGTGAGCGGTAAATGGTAATTCCGCAAATTGTCCATATTCAGCACAAAGGATCTTTCAGTTTTCATTGCATCTATCGAAATTGAATCACAATTGGCGTACCTCTGTGCTCAGAGCAGTCCCGGCTGAAGCATAGATATATGTTTGCATTATTTTGGATCCACTGTAGCCCATAATGAGAATGTATTTCGGTATAGAAATACTGGTCTCCTGTAAGACGAAGCACAAGAGGTTGATATCAGTTGGATTTTACAAAAAATAATCTTACTTGTGAAATTTGAAACAATACGGTACAAATAATCACTGAATTTGTAATAATCTGCCACAAAATGACAGGCCCATAGATTGTCTGTAAATCTTCGCAGCATTCCTTCAACACTTCGAATTTATCAACAAATCTGCGTAAACATTGATGGGAGTCATCACTTCTATTCAAATGTGTTATCTGATATCCTAAAACTCGAAGTTGTCCAGTTATATGCAATATGTAGTATCCGAATAGGGAATCAACTCCACAGGTTGTGAACAATAGACACATCAAATTATAAACTTCAAATACATAGGTGACTTTGTACAGAACTCCTCCAGGCGATATCACCCATGGGTAAAAAGCAGGCAATGGGAGTATGTACTTGATTGATTGCAGATGATGCCGACGTTGGATTATTATGAAGATGATAGGCGCTATGCAATAGGATACAGCTCCGCAAGCAACAAGAAAACACAAGATCCACGATAAGCGTCGGAATCCAGAAACTTTCTCCAAGGCGAGATGTCTCAAATTCTGATCGGCTAAAGACTCTTCATGATAGTTATGAATAATCGTGAATATTTTAGTGATACCTTCTCTGCTCAGTGTAAAAACCAATATCTGAAGGCAATAAATGAGACTTTAACATTTGTAAATCTTGAAAATTCGATTTTACCTTGAAAGCTATAGATGCAAAGCTTGTTCCCAATGAAACACCTTTAACCATGAGGCTCATACTCGAAATATGGGCTATAGCAAATCGAAATAGTGCAATGCTCAATATGATGTTGCAACTTATGGCAAAAATGGGTATGACACGATACACAATTCTGGGCTTGGAAATTGGCCATATTCCAACGAACAACAGCCAAAATTTGATGCTGTTTGTGAGAATTTGGTACTCTCTGAGTTCAATATCCTTCATTGCTGGTGGAGGGTAATAGATGATGGTATCAGTGAATTTGTGATTTTCTTGCAAGTAGCAAACGATATATCCATGAGAGGTAACTTCATAACTCTGAAGAGGAGCATAATTTCTGCGTATTGGGTATGATATATTGCCAGTGACTTATGAAATATGCATGACTTCTCGTTACACCGTCATCAACTAATGTTGCCTTTTTTATTCAGTATTGATAGGGGTATCATTTGATCGATTCGTTCAATGGCATGAGGATTGTGAGGCAAAAGAAAGGTTCACGTGTCTTTCTGCGCGTGTACCTACTTAGTTGCGTTTCAACGGAGTGATCATTCGTGATCTCTTAGAGCGAGGGAACTCAGATATCCTTAGTAGAAGGTTATTGAATGCACAAGATCGACGTGCTGCGAAAAGCCTTTGACAAACTTTGACAATTCAATGACGATTTCAATTTCATGAATACGTGATTTTACGTTTTTTGATCCGAATCATTTGAGTGAATTATACTCGTAAGGTAGTTTACGAGACATTTTGATACAGAGGAACATTCGTAGTACTTCGAAAAAGTGACTTATCACGAATCTAAATGATTGTGAGTCTATTTTGATTGTTTTGTATTTATCTGTTAATGCTATTTTATTTTCCCTATACTCATAACTGCACCATGCCGATAGCTCTACCAAATTTTGAATTCGTGATAGGTCATACTTGTTAGCGTGTTAACTGGGTTTTTCTAGCAATAGAAATATTGCTGAGTATTAATTTTTTACCGCAGCCATCGTACATAATACCGATTACCGAGTTGGATGAATCCAAATCGCCAATTGATTGACTTCTGGTGAGTGTAATGAACTCTCCTGTAGAGTACCAAATTGAGTTTCAGTCAGAGTTCACGCTTGAACTTGTAGATTCAGAAATGAAATAATTATGGACTTATTAGTATGGTTGACACATGAGAATGAATTCGAAAAAATTAAGAATTTAAATAATTATGGACCATTGGAAGAGCAAACTACTCTGTTATTAAATATATTATAGAGTTTCGCCTGGATTAATCATGAATTGAAAATCATGAGTACTTTGTGTAGAGTTTTAGTTCTACGATTGCTTCTCTTCAAATGTCTGTAATAAGAAGTAATAAGATACTGCCGCATTCAGCGTCTGTAACAGATGAGTACATGTAATATACAATATTACTTTCTTCCTTGTAACAAAAATACTATTAAATACCATAACAAATAATTCGTTAGACACAATTATCCAGTTAGCAACTGAAACTTTCAGTGGCTCTTGTGTCAAAATTATTAAGATAGCTGTCCTGAAACGATGATGTACTGCGTCTGGCCAATCGCAGAAGTACGCTGATTGTGTTCCCAGTTCACTCTGAGTCAATTAGATGACGAAAAATATGATAATTGTTGCCCTGAAAAACAGCATCGTGATGCACCTACCTCCTCCGTCAGAATGGTTCCAGATGAGCTATATATAAAAGTTTGCACTATTTTCCCACCACTGTAGCAGAGAATTTGAATATACGCTGCTACAGGAATGCCTTTACCCTGTCAAATTGTTCATCATGATTGTAATCCATCAATTGCAAGGTGATTGCTACATGACTCACTTGCGAAATTTGAAACAGTATAGCGCAAATTACAGCTGCATTGGTGGTGATCTGCCACAAAATTATGGGCCCATACATTTTTTGGAGTTTTCGACAGCATTGCCTCAACACCAGAAATTTGTCCACCCATTTGCGGATAAATTCATCATGATCCTCACTGGACTGCAGATTGACCATTTGATGGCTCAGAACTCGAAATTGTCCAGTTATGAGAAATATATAATACGCAAAAAGGCAATCGACCCCAACAGTTATGGTGGCCAAGCACAACATATTATACATTTCATATATGTAAGTTATTTTATAAACCATGCCTCCAGGATATATTTTCCATGGGTACAGAGCCGGCGCTGGAAGTGTATATTTAACTGGCTGTACGCCATGCCAAGTTTGAAGGATAATGCGAATGATTGGCACGAAGGCGAACATGCAGGCGCCACTGGTGACAATAAAAAAATGAATCAATGTTAAACGTCTGACACTTGTTACCCTATCTAACACGCAATATCTCAGGTTCTTGTCGAGTAGAGATTCTTTGAAATAGTTGTGAAGAGTCGTTAATATCTCATATGACTCTTTCATGTAATACGTGAGCTGTATATCCTGAAAGAAATACCTTACGTTGTAGAATGAAATTTCTTCATTTCTCTGAAATATTATTGAGGGTTGCAAAGTTGTGGAACGCCTTCGATCGATTTCGAAAATTTGAAAATCTATTGAGGATTTATTGAAAAATTTCAGAATCGTATCGAGACATTCCCGAGTCTTCAAGTGTTGATGTATGACTCGGAAATTTCTCAGCAGATTTTAAAATTTTCCTCCCTCTCGTTCTCAAATTTCCAGCATGTCATAGACGAAGTAAGATCGCTTATAAAAGAATAATTTTTCCCCATAAAAGTGCATTTGCTATGTTGCGGGATTATCATTTTACCTTTAACGCCAAGGATATGCAGCTACTTCCTAGACTAAATCCTCTAACCGCCTGGCTGATACTAGAAACGTTGGCGAAAGTAAATCGGAACAACGTGATGCTTCCTAGTAAATTGGAAATAATAGTGTAAATAGATAGGGCACGATACAGTATTCCGGGATGTGAAATCGGCCATGCTCCGCATAAAAACAGATAACACTTTATAAGTCGCGTTAGTCCATGATACTCTTGCAGTTTGATCTCCTCTGCCACAATCTTCTTCGCTGAATTCATATTGAGTATTCACTAATTACTAATATTTTCTGGAGCGGAAAAGCGTACACTCTACGGTGGAATCTTCATGAGTTTAACATGAGTCTTTCGTAACTCATCATATTTATGTGCATGGGAAATAACTCGTCAATAACGGAACGCCGTCATTGTGTGTCATCAGGGGTAATAATATCAAATGAAAGGCATGTATATTATTGAGCTAAGGGAAGATTGGAATATTTTTCAATCGTAAAACGGGTTCAGTTCCTACCAGTTGACTGTTCATCCGTCATATCATAAGTTCAGATATTTCGGGAATTCAAGTGTATGGTGATGTCATCAGAGATATGATTAATTGTGATATGTTCATGATAAAGGGGTCGCTATTTCGTGAAATGCATTGAATCACTGGAGGCTATAAAGGAGGTTACATCTGTTAATGTCATTTTTTGAATCCTGTTATCCTTAAATTTGACAGAACAATGACATTCCTGTCGGGAGGCTGAATAGTTCCAAATACACATGGATTCTCCGGTAATGGTTATGGTTGCAGGAGAAATGAAAATACAGGTAATGAAACATATTGGTGCCCATTCGTATTTATATTCAGACCTATTATTTCTCCAAAAAACTACAGACAGATCGTCTCTTCCTGAGACTAATAAATCAGCCTTGTTCAATCGTTTGTAATAAGAGGAAGTATGACATTGTTGTATTGAGAACCTAAACCAAAAGAGTGTTTCATAATTCCAATTCAGTGAACTCCCATAGATTCAATTTACGAGATACTCACCATCACGAACATATCGACTGACACAACAGACATATGCCAGGCCGTCATGGTCAGTGGTCTTTGATTCAGGGTGATTAAGACAGAGTTCATTCCTTTGGGATTTCCGTACCAATTTGAGGCATACACAGCATCCAGATACTCTTCACTCTGCGAGATGATTTGAGGATAATGAGTAGAACTGGACAAGTGTGATCTATCACGAATTTGAGACTCTTCAGGCCAATTTTTGTTTTTATTTACAGTTATTCACAAGAAGAAATTATTGAACTGCCGCTCGGAGAAACTCGAGCGGGCACTTCTCCCGCTCCTGTTCCAATTGAAATTCTAAGCTCTATAAGTTGATCATTTTTCAGGGCAGGTGCTAACATACATGTAAGGACCTACATGTCCTTACATTACGCTTACGGTTTTTCTCTACTCCACTCTCCTCAGTGAGGCATACAACCAATTATGTGGCCTGCTCAAACAACTGGTGGCGGGAGCAGAGCCCGCTCGAGGATCTGCCAGCGATTGTTGCATTCATTTTTTTCTGTTAACAACTAATAAATAGCGATCACAATAAATCAATGAATTTTCTGTTTATAAGTTTTCATTCGTTAGCGGTTTTCGTTTGCAGTTATTCACAAAAATAATTCATTGAACTACCGTTCGAAGAAACTCGAGCAGGCACTGCTCTCGCTCCTGCTCCGAGGCTATTCACTTGAAATTCCAAGCTCTATAAGTCAACCATTTTGTAGTGCAGGTGGTAATATACATGTAAGGACAGTTCTTCTCTACTCCACTCTCCTTAATAACGCATATAACCGATTATGTGGCCTGCTCAAAGAACTGGTGACGGGAGCAGAGCCCGCTCGAGGATCTGCCAGCAATTGTTGCATTCATTTTTTTTCTCTTAACAACTAACAAACAGCGATCATAATAAATCAATGAATTTTTTGTTCATAACCTTCTATTTTTTAAACAGCCTAACAGCGGATTCTTTGAGTAACTTTACCTTTGATGTCATAAGCGTGCCTGACCAACTGTATAAAAAAGTTTGAGTGGTCTTCCCACAAATGTATGCTGCAAACTGTATGATTTGAACGATTGTTATGGCCTTCATCTGTGGATAACAGTTGTAATTAATCATATTCATAAAAAAACACATTCTAGCTCGATTACCTGTGTGAATTGAAAGATAAGAGCGCACAGTATGATTGCATTGTTGCTCATCAAAAGTAGTATTATAGGACCAAAAGTTTTTTCCAATATATCCCGGCATTCCATCAAGGCTATGTAATCTCGAATACATCGACTCATTTCATCATCAATATTGTCTTTTTCTCCAAGCTGTGTCAAGCGATATGCCATTGCATGGAGTTTTCCCTTAACTTGAAAAACGAGTAATGGAAGGAATGCATCTGTCCCGGAACTCACATAAAATACAGTGAAAAGGGCGAATGCTTCAAAAACGTAGTGTACTGAGTAAATAAAGATGTTGTCGGGTACAATCCACGGATACATTCCTAGTAGTATGAGAGGATACTTGACAGATTGAACGTGACGCATATGTTGTTTGATGATGATGATGAGGGGAGTTAGTACGTATCCAAATAGAGCGAAAAATGTTAATACTGTGTAGAATAAACTGAGCCGTCGAAAGAGTTTCACATCGTGCAAGACAACTTCCCTCATTTTTTCATGGACCAAAAGTTCATCGAAATAAGTGTCCAGAATTTTGCGAGCTTTTATCAGTGGTTCGCGATTTCTTGCGAGGCACACTACCTTTGGAGTAGACAGAAAATCAAGTGCTCAATGCTCTAGTAAGTATGAGTTTCATACATACTCTAAACATGTTCAAGATGATGCTCGTCATGATGCTCATAGCTCTTGTCACTATTCGGATGCTTGTTATATGATGTGCGATAAAATTCCCAATTTTCATAGCAGCACCGCAACCAACAACAATCTGCAAATAAGGCAGCATACGATATGCCGGGCTTGAATCTTCCGAGGGCCATAAACCTGCAAAGTCCAGCAGCCATCTAAGATGTTCTCTATATGCCATGTAAGTTTGCAGTTTTCGACTATCGGACATTTTGTAACGCGAATACATGGATTTTGGTTTTTACCAAGCGATGGGATATGCAAGGTTTGAAAATATCTTTTCAACTGACATGAATAGAGTGAAGAACAAAATGAAAACTCTGATTTTATGAGTGCGTGGGGTATGTGATTTATAAATCAAAACTTCCGACATGATAAGTTATGCTTAATACGGTATATTCAATCGATTCGAAAAGTGGATGTCATTTTAGAGAGCAGGGAAAGGGGGAACGCACTCGAACGCACTATCGGTTCAGTCTATTTTGAGCTGTCTTCTAGAGTGCAACGTATACCAAAATTTAGTTTGGAAGAACAAGTGAAATTCGCTTTTTTATGTTCAATAAATATTGTGTGACCCCAATGCAAAACAATGATAGACCATTCAGACAAGTGAATCACTTTATTCCTGAAAATATATAAATATATCTCGTCTCGATTCATTATAATTTGTTCATTATAAATGGTTGAGCCTACGATTGTTTCTCTTCGACAGTCTTCAATAAGAAGAAATAAGACACTGCGGTATTCAACGTCTGGAAGAGAATAGTACGTGTGGTATAGACAATATTTCTCCCTTCTTTGCCAAGAAAATATAAAATACCATCACGAAGAGATCATTGGACACCACGATCCAATTTGCAGCTGAAATTTTTAGGGGTTTTTGCGTCAAAATTATTAGAACTATAGCTCTGAAACGTTGACGTTCGGCTTCCGGCCAATCGCTGAAGTACACAGATTCTGTCAATGCTTCACTCTTAAATCAAATAGATAACAGTAGAAATGATGCTTGTTACGTGGATAAATAATTGTGATGCACCTACCTCATTGGTAAGAACAGTTCCAGCCCAGCTATATATAAATGTTTGCACAATTTTCCCGCCGCTATAGCAGAGAATAAGAACATATTTTGCTACAGAAATGCCTTTGCCCTGTTAAATTTTCGAGGTTGTAATCCAGCAATGACAAGAGGAATGCGCAATGACTCACTTGAGATATTTGAAACAGTATAGTGCAAATCACAGCTGCATTTGTGGTGACTTGCCACAATATAATGGGTCCATAGATTTTTTGCACCTTACGACAGCAATCCTTCAACACCTGAAATTTTGTCATCCATTGACGTATGAATTCTTCATGATTGTCACTCGGTTTTATATTGATCATTTCATAGCTCAGAACTCGAAGTTGCCCGGTTATGAGGAAAATAAAATATCCAAAAAGCGGATCAACTCCACAAGTTATAGTAGTCATACACAACATATTATACATTTCAAATAGGTATGTTATTTTATACAATAGGCCTCCGGGTTGGATTTTCCATGGGTACAGAGCAGGCAATGGAAGGATATATTTGATAGGCTGCATGTGCTGCCGTAGTTGAATAATCATGAAAATAATTGGCATGAAGGAATACATTAGGGAACCACTGATGACGAGACACGTTTGGATCCATGATAATCGTCGAAACCCAGTTATTTTCTCCAACACGCGGGATCTCAATTTCTTGTCAGCTAGAGCCTCTTCATGATACTTGTGAAGAATCGTATATAACGCAGATACAGTTTTCTTGTGAAATGTGAGGAGAATTACCTGAAAGAAATTTCTTACTTTAAGAATCAAAAACTCAATAATCAAAAAGACAACTCCGAAAATTGGTGGAGATGCAACTGAAAATTGGTGACGAAAGCACTGAATTTTACAGCCACAAATCTTTAATATAATTAATCTGTTGCCCATTGTTTGGCTGCGATTTACATAAAAACGACTGAATAGATTTGAATAGTATTTTTAATATTACACAATTTAGTATGCGCCGTAGAAACTTCAAGAAAATTCTAATGCTTTCTGGAAAATTCTAGAATATTCTTGAGTTTTTGAGAATATTTTTTAGATTTCTACGACGTTCGAGGATATTCTCGGGTTTTATAAAAATTTCGAGAAAATCCTATGGTTTTACAAAAAATTCCAGGAAATTCTCGGGTTTTCTATGAAAATTTGATTTGTTCCAATTGCGCAATTTAATTTCAAACTAGCTGTGTGGCCCAGCTTCGCCTGAGCAGAATAAGAGAATTCCTACAATTGAAAAAAAAACACCTCTATGTTTTTGATTTTTCTACAACACCCAAGAAGTTCTAAAATTTTGAGGGTTTTCCGAAGAAATTGGGAAAATTCTCGGGTGTTCTAGAAAAGTCGAAACCAAGAAGCCGGACCACACCGCCAGTCCCTAATAATTGGGGATAAATTCCCGAAAATCCATGACACGTTTGAAAGAAAAAACATTTTCTCCTCTGTGAATGATTTTAGAAATTTATTGTTATTTATCGGGAATGTATCATCACTTCGACCTTTCGACATGATTTTCAGGTGGTGAAGTCCTTTGATACACATAAAAGGGGGCATCACGGCATGCTTACATTCGAGTGCCGAAGAGTGGTTCTTTTTACCTTCAAAGCCAGGGATAGGTAACTGGTTCCTAAGCTGAATCCTCTAACCATCAGGCTGATATTTGTAATATTGGCAAAAGCAAATCGTAGCAATACGATGCTTAGTGTGCTCGTGGATGTTATAGCGAGAATAGATAGGACACGATCCAGTATTCCGGGCTGTCCAGTTGGCCATATTCCACATAAAAGCATACAATATTTTATACTGCGTGTAAATGCGAGGTACTCTTCAAATTTAATTTCCTCTTTCATTGCCTCCTCCGCAGAACTCATATTCATATACACTACTTATTAATCTTCTTTAAAGTTGGGAAACGTATACTCCGCGGTGGAGTTTTCATACCTTTCCTATCGCAGATGATACCTCCTTTGTTACTTCCTTTATGTTTATGAAAAATGACTCGTCAATTACGTGTGATTACTCCCTTTGAAATCAGTGAATAATGCAACGCCGTCTTGTATATTATTCCTTATGTGATTCGATCTGTGTAATATCATACCTGTCATCGATGTAAGGGGTTGGAATATTGCTGCAGTGAACCGAGTTCAGTTCCCACAGTCTAGTGGTCATCCGTCATCTAATGAATTCAGATATGGGAAGCGCTCATGTGTATTTGAAAGTTATCATAAATATGTTTCCTTGTGAAAAGTTCGCCATGAACGGGTGACGATTGGTGAGGAACGTCAATCAGCGATAGAAGAGAAAATTTTCAATCTTCTCGAAAGAAGACTTTCCTAGACGTGAGTTTAAGGATAGCCAAATACTTTAGCTATTTTTTCTGCAGTGAAATGATTTTCTACTTTTGTAGCCCATTTCACCCTAAATTTCCGGACATGTCACAATGATTTTATTATTTATACATTTCCAGTCTGAATTTGAATCAAGATATTGAACCGTTAGAAAACATTTGAAAAATCTGAAAAAAATTAGAAAGTTTCCTTTGGACGAGGATTGATATAATAATTTAAAAATTGCAATTTGCGCATGTTACGAGCATTTTTTATAAATAATTTCACATCATATAAATTTAGATCATAGAATCATTTTTCGGAATGGTAACAAATTTATTCATGTTCAGAATATAAAAAAATATGGTTTGCGAAAATTGAAACAATTTTAGTTATTTTTCATTCTCTGATTTTTTTCAAATTTTCTCTCGCAATTTAATGAACAAATTTGATGATTGAAAATTGTTGAATCTTTAGCAGGGTCTGTATCAAACTGTAAAAGATACTTGGATATCCATAAGTGATTTGAAGTGGCTGTTGATGAATCTTAGAATTAACCCCTCAAAGACGGGGTCCATGCACGGAGAGAAATGTTCAGTAAAAATTACGGAACTCATAATTCATTCGCCGATTACGGAATCGACTTAGAAAAAAAGTGACGGTAAGTGACGGTTAAGTGACGGTATCGTATTTTTTCATAGGAGATTCAGATAAAAATTACGGAACGCTCCGGAAAAATTCCGTGACAGTTCCATAAAATTTCCTACAACCACATTTCGCTCCGGAATTACGAAAAAGATACGTAATTTTTATTGAATATTTTTCTCCGTGTGCGGCGTACCAACCCATGCGATAGCGAGTGGCTACTTTCAAAATTGATTATTTCTAAATCCACAGATAGCATATCAATCATACAAATATTATTGGAAATAATTGTTATAGTTGAAGTTGGAGTATGGCTAACTTCCATTACATATTGGTACGATAATTTTCCGTCCAATAGAAGTAATCAAATTCGAGTTGTGTTGTACCTACGCTATGCTTAATTAGAATGAAGTTGAAAACTTGAGCATTCCGGATGATTGGGAATTATTTGGAAAAAAAAAATGCAGAATGATTGAAGAACAATAACTACAACATGTTTTATCTAGAACCATCAGAAACGGAAAAAGAAGTAATCGGACTACGACTGTTTCTCTTCGAATGTCTGCAGTAAGAAAAAGTAAGACACGGCCGTATTCAAGGTCTGTAATGAGATAATATATGCAATATACGCAATTGCAAATTTCTAAATTGCGACGATGAAGAATCATATTATATACCATGACAAATAGATTAAGGGAAACGGGAACCCAATTTGCGGCTATAACTTGGAGAGGCTTTTGTGTCAACATTACCAAGACTGATGTTCTATAACGATGACGTCCCTTCCCCAGCCAATCGCTGAAATATACTGTTTCTGTCAGCACTTCGCTCTGAGACAAATAGATAATTTTGAAGTCCAATAATGAAATTCTACTGCATGTTGTTATATTTTCGTTGAAAATCGAGGGATATTGGAGGAAATGAAAACAATTGTGCCATATTTCTTAAAACATATTTCTCCAATTCATGAGTGAAAATCCAGTATATCAAGAGCCTAAAGAAACCAGACCATCAAGTGGAACATCTTCCAAATGAAAAATTAGTCAATGTTGCATCCAATATCCCACGATTTTCCAGCAAAACTGAAAGTGCCTAACCTCGGCAGTCAGGTAAGACCCAGCCCAGCTATACAGATAAGACTGCAATATTTTTCCGCCACTATAGGTGAGAATAGTAAGAGCCTTTACCACAGTAATTTCGCCCTGTCAAATTTTGAAGCGACGTTGTAATCCATGAATAACCAGCTGCATGGGAAACAACATACTTGTGAAATTTGGAAGAAGACAGTACAAATTATAGCTGAGTTGGTGATAATCTGCCACAAGATGAGAGGTCCCCAAACAGTTTGTAGTTTTTCACAACAGCCTCTCAATACCAAAAATTTGCTGACCCATTGGCGCAAAAATCCATCAAGATTGTCAGCCAGTGGTAAATTCGATATTTCGTATCCCAGAACTCGAAGCTGTCCAATTATTTGATAAACAAAATATACAAAGAGTGGATCCATTCCAACAGTTATGAAATATAGGCACCATATATTATAGGACTCGTATACGTAAGTTATTTTATACACTAGTCCCCCAGGAGTTATTTCCCATGGAAATAGAGCAGACACCGGAAGAAGATATTTTAGAGGATGTACATGCCGCCGAATTTGAATTATCATGAATATTATGGGCATCACTGTGTACATTATACAACCAATATGAGCAATAGCAGAAAGGAGCCAAAATAAACGTCGGAAGTCACCTATTCCGTCCAAAACCATATATCGGAATTTTTTGTCGGCTAGGGATTCCGTATAATAGTCATGAAGGGTCGTATATAACTCATTGACCATTTCCTTGTAGAATGTGAAGAGAAATACCTCCATAGAGTAAAGTGATAGTTAAAAAAAAAATAGAAAAATAGTATAGAATAGAATTGGGAGATTGTAACTTTACCTTGAAAAGCATGGATATACAGCTGACGCCTAAACTGAATCCTTTCACCATGATGGTGATATTTGTGATGTTGACGATAGTAAACCACATAAGTGCGATACCCAGTGTAGCAAGGGATAACGCAGTGACATAGGGTATTGCACGATATAGAATTCCCGGGTTTGAAATCGGCCATGTTCCAGTAATGAGCATGCAATATCTTATACGCTTAATGATCTGTTGAGCGTCTTTGTATTGGGCATCCGCTTTGATTGCCTTTTCTAAAGAACTCATATTCATATGAATTTAACATTTATTTTTTTCCGAAGTGAAGAAACCGATGCTCTCTCGGTATTGCAACTCGGACGTTGAAGATGAATTTTTCTTATTGTCGATGAGAAACTACTTGTCAATTGTTTATGATTACTCAATCAAGAATGGCTGGCTAATGAGGGGTTATTATGAGGTATAGTTTCCCATGCTAAACGATCAACTCGGAATGAATGCGTATCATTACGGTATAGACAGGCTTGAATGATTTTCCACTTGGAGATGAGTTTAGTCTTCGTTAGTGATATATTCGTCCATTCCGTGAATTCAGATGCATCGGGGATCAATATTTTTCATGAAGTTGTCGAAAAGGTGATCAAGTAGGAACTTTTTATAATGGAGGTGTCCGGCATTCGTGAGTTATTTAAAATCAGTGTTGTCGAGGATTGTTTTTCTTTGTTAATGGGAAAATAAGTTTATAGAAATGAAATGAGGGGAGCGGCGGAGGGGTGTTGGTGAGGATGAGTAACACGTACTGTTGATGTGTCTTTGTTTTCTTGTATCACGGCTTTTACGATTGAAAATGGAATAGCAGTGCCCACTCACTATTGCATTCTCCGGTGGAGTTTGTAAATATCGTGAAATCTCAGTCGAGATCAATCATCGTTAATATTTTTTAAGTCATTTCATTTCTCATTTTGAGAGGAATGTAATACAGTATGTTTTTGTAAAAAAACTGGGCCAAGAAAAAGTTTTGTTTGATTCCTACTGGGAAATCGACGTTTTTGAAAAATACATAGAAATAAAGAAGGAAGCCAAGTTAGGAATTTTGAAAAAATGATGATAGTGCACATTCAAGTGTCTATAATAAAAATAGTTCTCAATGGAATAAGTATTCTAAAAAAATTCTCCATGAAATAAAAAATCAGTAGGAGCAGGACCAACGTCCTTGGCGCGGATCAAAGGATGGAGGAATTGATTGATACAGACAGTGAATTGAAAAACTCCGGGTGGAGTTTGTCCCAAAGTCCATTGGGTGGAATGGACTCTTCTGACTTCTTATTTCAATGTTTATAACCAAGGAACAAATTTATCAATTGAGCTCAGTCTAAGCTTATTACAAAGGGGCTGACTGTACTTTAATTTAAAAAAAAATCTATTTCATCAGCACTTCAATAAGACATCAACATTTTGGAAAGGGTTCAAAGTGTCCATTTAATCTGTTTCCTACTAATTGTTCCTAAGTAATTACAAAATTGTTCGCATTTCACTGTCACGACACTTTCCTGATTTGTCGTTCCGTTTTCATCATACCGAATGTAAATCATTTAGAGGTAGTGGAAGGGGAAGTTCTGTCGTATATAGATACGCGGTGCTCGCGGCCTGATATTTTGCTCAGTTGGTCAAACCTTTTCTTGGCCGATACGCTACCGCGTATCTCGGTGAAATTTGAGGAATTGCGAAAAATCGCCGGGGGTTGGGTTTGAACCCACAATCCTTAAGTTTCCAATCTGAGTCTTCTCTCCCGAAACCCAAAAAATCCTTAGTACCCGAGAATCCTTCTCTCCCAGACTTTATGGTCTCCCAAAAATTCACAAAGTGACTATCCCCCTTCGTCCAATAGTGAGCAACATTGGTGCCCCCGCGTAACAATTAGCTCGCTATCTGACCAAACCACTCCAAGCACTCGTGGGTCAGAATAGTTCCCACATCAAAAACTCCCAAGACTTCGTGAACAAACTGTCTCACATTCAAACTAGTCCAGGAGATCTTTTGGTTAGCTTTGATGTGGAGTCCCTGTTCACAAATGTACCCATTCCCGACACTCTTAACATCATCAAAAAATCCCAAAAAATCCCACCCAAACTCCTCCCTCTGGTTGAACACTGCCTGACTTCCACTTATTTCCAATTCCAAAGGGAGTTCTATGAACAAACATTCGGAGCAGCAAAGGGTTCGCCCATTTCTCCCATCATAGCAAACATTTTTATGGCAGATTTCGAAAACAAAGTTCTTAAATCAGTGTCTCTTAAATCCTCTGTTTGGTTCAGGTATGTCGACGACACTTTCGTCCTCTGAAAACATGGAGCAGCCACGTTGCCTCAGTTCCTGAATTTTATCAACTCACAACATCCGAGCATAAAATTCACTATGGAGATTAAGGAACAGAAGTCTCTTCCCTTCCTAGATGTCCTAGTGCATCGTAATGAGGACGGAAGTCTTGGTCACCGAGTCTACCGAAAGCCTACACATACAGACAGATACCTCCATGCCTCCTCACACCATCACCCTTCTCAAAAGAACTCGGTGATAAGCTCTCTTATGTACCGAGCTCTCACTATTTCCCAGCCTGAATATCTGGAAGCCGAAGTTCAACTCCTGGATAAAGCATTGAATAACAATGGATACCAGAGCAAATAAGTCCACCGTGTTTTGCACAGGCTGATAAACAAGATCTCAGCTGAGAGTGAATCTGCTGATAACGTGGAACATCAGAAAATGGCTGTTCTTCCATATCTGCAAGGTACGACCGATCGCATTAGCAAGGTACTACAGAAGCATGACATCAGGACAATTTTCAAACCACCAACGAAAATTGGACAAATGCTCCGCAGTACTAAGGATCGGAGAGCACCACTTAGTGTCCCAGGGGTGTACAAAATCCCTTGCTCTTGTGGAAAAGTGTACATTGGTGAAATCGGGAGGAGGATAAGTACACGGATCAAAGAACATCAACGGTGTGCAAAAAATGGCCATATCTCGCAATCTGCACTGGCTGAACATTGTATGGACACTGGACACTCTATCCAATATGACAAGACAGAAATGCTTGCCAGCTCACAAGGATATTTCGTCAGNGCAGTACTAAGGATCGGAGAGCACCACTTAGTGTCCCAGGGGTGTACAAAATCCCTTGCTCTTGTGGAAAAGTGTACATTGGTGAAATCGGGAGGAGGATAAGTACACGGATCAAAGAACATCAACGGTGTGCAAAAAATGGCCATATCTCGCAATCTGCACTGGCTGAACATTGTATGGACACTGGACACTCTATCCAATATGACAAGACAGAAATGCTTGCCAGCTCACAAGGATATTTCGTCAGAAAACATCGCGAAGGTCTTGAGATCCAAAAACATCCGAACAATCTCAATAGGGATCGAGGATACCAAACCAATCCAATTTGGCACACTGTCCTCCCGGTTTTTTAATTGACCAGCTGATCAATTAAAAACATCTTGATTGGCTGGGATACGCCCCACCACTCTACCTACCCCCTCCAGAGGTCAGGGGGGATATAAGGACTTCCTTACAACGGGGAGCTTCAATATCGGAGCAACCTAGCCCTGATGATACAGACTGAAAACTTTGCGAAACGTCAGCAAAAAGGTGAATCTAGACGCGGCATCCATCCGGAAGCCATCATAATGAATAATTATAAGGAGTTATTCAAATGAGAGCATCATCATTCAACAATTCCAATATATTTCTGTTAATTTCAACACAAATTTAAAAATATTCATCTATTTTCCGGTTGAAGTTAGGATTCTAGAGCTGCTTCTCGTCGAATGTTTGCAACAGGAAGAAATAAGATACTGCTGTATTCAATACCTGTAATAGAAATATCTATGGAATACAAGTAATTCAGTTTTTTTCATATTTCAACAGACATGTTATTATATACCGTAATAAACATATCAAGGGAAACGGTTATCCACTGCGCAGCTATAATTTTGAGAGGCTGTTGTGTGAGTATTATTAATATTGATGTTCTGAAAGCTTGACGATCTCTACTCATCCAATCGCTGAAGTAAACGGAATCTGATAACGCTTCACTCTGCGTTAAACAGTTGAAATTAACAATAAACGATGAAGTCCATGTTGAGATTGTCAATTTTTACGAGGAAAATCAAAGGACAGAAGGGTAGAACATGACAAATGAAGCAATATACACTTTTAAAAATTTTCGTCTCAAATTTCCGGTACACTTTTTGGAAATTGTTATTGAATTGAATTACCACTGAAATTTCAAGGAATTTCGGCATTGAAAATTCAAAATTTCGTAGAAAAATCAAAGAAAACTGTAAATTTCCGTTCCCGTTTTTCATTAAAATGAATAGAAAAACAGGAAATTCCGGTAAATATATTTTTGAATTTTCTGGACAGTAAATGCGATTTAGGGGAAAAAATCATAAACTTTCAGATTTTACTAAAAATTCAATGTAATTTGACAGTGAATATTCATATTAGATTGGAAATTCAAATAAATACGGAATTCTCGTCTTTATGCTTCTTAAAATTTTGAAATTTTACTGAATTTTCAGTGAAACCTGAAATTTCATGATTTTTCTTCCCTAAATTGCATTCAGTGTCACTGTCCTGAAAAGTACTAGTCAACTGTCCATGAAATTTCATTTTTTTTCTAACAGTGTAAAAGACTGAATCTTGTTTATGTCAAAAGTCATAAAAGTCCGAACTATTCAGTGCAACGTTGTACACAGTAAAATAATCATCCGAATTGAAACTGACGATTGCCATTTGCATGAACATAATCATGACGACCGTACCTCAGAAGTCAGCTGAGTCCCAGACCAGGCGTACAGATATGTTTGTATTATTTTCCCTCCACTGTAGGCGAAAATGAGAATGTACTTCGCTAAAGAACCTTTGCCCTGTCAAATTTTGACACATCCTTGTAATTCATCAATTGCTGGTTGCATCTCGGGTTGCATGCATAATCACTCACTTGTGAAACTTGAAATAAGATTGTGCAAATTACAGCTGAATTTGTTGTAATCTGCCACAGGATGACAGGTCCATACATCTTTTGAAGTTTCTCACAACACTCTTTCAATATCTGATATTTCACGACCCATCTGCGTACAAGTTCATTCAAATTGTCGGACTGTGAAAAATTCAGCATTTGATGCTGCAACACTCGTAGCTGTCCAATTATTTGAAAAATAGAATATGCAAAAAGTGGATCCATTCCAAGTGTCACAGTATATATGACCCATATATTGAAGGTTTCAAAGATGTATGTTATTACATACAAAAATCCTCCAGGCTTAACTTCCCATGGGTACAAAGCAGTCACCGGAAGGATGTATTTTATAGAATCCACATGATGTCGCAGTTGAACTGCTATGTAAATGACAGGAGTAATCGTATACATCACACAGCCTGTAGTGACATATACAGTTAGGAGCGATATTAATCGTTGGAAGCCACTTATATTCTTCAACACCAAATCTCTCGATTTTTCGTCTGCTAGGGACTTCGTATAATACTCGTGAAGAATTGTGTATAACTCCATTGTTGTTCCTTTGAAGGATCTGAAAAGGGCTACCTGAAAGAAATGAAATTGTTCGAGTTGTTATATGTGCGTGCATAATTCTTAGTTTTTTCGGCGTCTATAAAAGTGAGGTTCGATCATTATATTAAAGGAAGATGCGTATTATTTACGATCGTTATATATTCATTTATTAATTAAAATAATATATTTCTTTATGACAAGTGATAATTTTTTTCTCAAGACTTAAAATGACAAAAAGTCTTGAGACTGAATTTTTTAAGCGTCCTGAGTCGAATATTAGGACCTGAATTCCCCCTTGAACACCTATTATGAGTAGGAGTACCAGGATGAAGTTGGGGTGTATTTACATTCAGAAAGACCCCCTGGTTTCCGCCTGAACGTGCGAGTTATTTCCAAATTCCGAGGGTTCAGGAGAAAAACAGGAGGTGTGTTAAACCTATTTATCGCCTGCACCCCCTAAAATGTTTTCCACTCCATCCCTCCTGGAAAGAACCTGCAAACCCTTTGGAGGTATTATTTTTAATTTTTAATTATTAACATGAGAAGCACGGGTGAAAATTAAGGTCATACTCAAGGGTCATATATAAGGGTCAAAAATAACGGTCAGAAACGACAGTCAAAAATAAGGGTGGGAATTTCAGTAATTTTCACCGCAAACGGAAATGAACAAAATAGTGAGCTACTCAATCATCCTGGCTATCAGGGTTAATTCAGGGGATTTATGATTCCTTTTCATTCGACAGGAGGTGAAGGGAGAAAAAAGTATCAGTTGAGAAGGGTTTTTACGCCTTTAGGATGAGGCAGGATCATATAAGGAGTTATTCAGGATGTACAGGATGAATAAAGGAGGAAAAAATATCTCAAGGAGGTAATAGGGGGGAATAAGGTCCAGATATTCGACTCGGGGTGTATGAACTTGAAATATTTTCAAGTCAAGCATAAGCTTGGCGAAATAGATTGATGATCGAAAGTGTTTCACCTATTTTTTAATAGAGGATAGTATTAGTTTTAAACAAGAATTAGTGATGCCGCAAGACATTTCATGAGACATCACGAGACAAAACTTTGGAGAGAGGATTTCGATCTCAATGAACATAAAAATCTTTGCTCTCGTCTCAGTTTGAAAATACGCAATATCGACTCTTCACATGATGACTCCGAGTCAATTTATTCCATCTCAGTTTCCAGTTTTTCGCGCTTTTTATATGTAAAAATCCGAGACGAGACAAACCGAGATTTTAGATTAAAAAACACGAAAAACTTGAGACCGAGATGAGATAAATTGACTCGGAGTCATCACGAGAAGAGTCGATACTGCGTATTTCGAGACAGACGAAAGTAATAATTTCCGTGTTCATTGAGAACGACATCATCTCTCCAAAGTTTTGTCTCGTAATGTGTCTCGCGGCATCACTAACAAGAATATTATAATATCCTTATATCACCTTCAGAGCTAGCGATATGAAGCTCGTTCCCAAACTGAATCCTTTAACCATCAGGCTGAGATTTGCGAGGTTGGCAAATGCAAAACGAAAGAGCAATATGCCTAGTATAGCGGTGGAAGTTATGGTAAAAATGGAGATAGCACGATAGAAGATACTGGGATTCTGCACCGGCCATGTCCCATTGATGAGCATACAAAGTTTTATCTTACGCAGTATCGCCTCAGACTGTGTGGCATTGATGTCCGTATCAATTGACCTCTTCGGCGTACCCATGTCCATATGTACTATGCATTAAGGTTCTCTAAAAAGTTATTCGATACAGTGTAATGTCCATTATTTTGATGTCGAAGCTATGCATCTCCTTCATAGCGCATCAGATGTTGGAAAAAAAAGTCTCGTAAATTGTTCGTGATTACTCGTTACAGAATAGGTGCATAATGGATGGCCGTCATGTGGTATTATGTGGTATTCCCCGTGTGATTAGCGACTGATCGAACGGTATATTTAACATCGAGGTAGAGGCAGGTTGCAATATTTCTCGACAGGGTTTAGTTCTCTATCCGTGCAGTGTTCATCCCCCATCTCATGAATCCCGATTCAAAACGAATGCGTGTGTCTTATGAAGCTATCAATAATTTGCTCAATTGTGATAGGAACCCGGTTATTCGCGAGAATTACTGGTGACAGGTGATAGTGGCAAGGAATTTTTTCCGTAGTTGAACGTAAAGGTGGAATATAGTAGGTGAGCATGAGTTTGTGTTTATGTTTATGTGAATTTTCTCTATAATGACGGCCTAGGAAGGGAATTCAGCACTGATAGACTGATTCAATCATTTCAAACGAGATTCGTCAACTATTAACGAATGGTGGAGTCGAATATGGCCAAATAAATATTCGTTAATAGTTAACGAATGGTTCACTCGAAAGATGAAAGTTGAGTCAAACAAGACTCCTCAAATATGCATTTGTTAACTATTAACGAATGAACATTTGGTGAAACCGAATAGACGCTAGACTGCAATCAAATCCATTTGTTAACAATAACTAATCCTGTCTATCAGTGAGCATGGCCATAAACCTTCCGGAAAAGATAATAGCTTTATTCACATATATACAGCGATACATCTCGTTTAGACTTATCACAAAATTAAGAAGATGAAAACTTCTATTTGGAGCTATAATTCTACGATTCTCGCTCGTCGAATGTCTTCAATAGGAAAAAGTAGGATACAGCTGTGTTTAATGTCTGCAATAGAAAAGTACACGCAAGACATAACACGAGATGTTTCTTCTCTTCTTAAAGAAGTAACAAGTTATACCATGAGAAACATATCCGTCGAAACAACCATGCAGTTGGCAGCGGTAATCTTGAGAGGCCTCTGTGTTAGAATCAATAAAATCGACGTCTTAAAATGTTGATATCTCGCACCCACCCAATCGCTGAAGTACAAAGCTTCCGACAACGCTTCACTCTGAACCAAACACATAAGATGGATGCTTGTTACTTCTATAGAAAAGAATGCAATGAACTTACCTCAACGGTCAGGACAGAGCCAGCCCAGCTATATATATAAGTTTGCATTATTTTCGTTCCACTGTAACCGATAATGAGAATATACCTTCCTAACGAAATTCCTGATGCCTGTAAAATATCAATGCAAAAATGTATCCACAAGTATGGAAGATTTCTTAAATTAATAGTCATTGCTGGGAAAAAAAACAGGGTGAATTGAATTAAGATCGATCTGAAGAGGATGTATAATTTCAACTATCAAGTCCGTCACAAATATATGTAAGAGAGTTTAAGGATTATATTAATGAAATGATTTTACTTTTGAATATGAAGATATTTCGAAAGACTCTTTGTTCCATGAATAAATTTTATGACTTGACGATTCTCTGGACTACGTCACTAAAAGTATAATAATTCCTCCAGAATTTACGAACGGAAAAATACTCGATTGGAGAATAGAAAACACCCAGAAAGAGGCATTAAATATTTTCGATTAAATGATGTAGTTTTCCCTGTTTGATGCCGCGCGATTACTTGAGAAAGATTCCCCACAGATCGAGTTGCGTAGAAAAATAAAAATATCTTGATTTTCATCCATAAATGTCTGTTTTACCCCAACCGCCCCTATAGAATTCCTTACTTGTGAAATTTGGAACAGTACAGTACATATCACAGCTGAATTTGTGATGATCTGCCAGACAATGATAGGGCCGTAGATTGTCTGTAAGCAGTCACAGCACTCTCTCAGCACCAGAGATTTTGTAACCCATTCGCGTATGAACTCAGCCTGATTATCCGTCGATTTCAAATTCATCATCTGATAACCCAGAACTCGAAGCTGTCCGGTTATGTGAAAAATATAATATCCAAATAGTGAATCGACACCGCATGTAACAATACCTAAGCACAATATATTATAGGTTTCGAATATATACGTTGCTATGTACACGACGCCTCCAGGATATATTTCCCATGGGTACAAGGCGGGTACCGGAAGTATGTATTTTATGGACTGTACGTTGTGTCGAATTTGAACAATTATGGAAATGATAGGAATGAGGAAATACATCAAACAGCCACTATATACAAGAATGGTTAGGATCCATGTTAAACGGCCGAATCCGGTTACTCTTTCGAGCACCAAGTATCGTAAATTATCATCGGCCAAAAACTTTGTATGGTGGTCAAGGAGAACTGTATGCACTTCAGTCGACTTTTTTTTATAGAATGTGAAAAGAAAAACCTGAAAATAATAGAGCAATTCCATGAAAATGTTTAGAATATCACCCCGGAATTTGATTGAGGGAGACGGGGGTAAAACGGGATTGTCGAGTGACGCATGAGATTATGCAATGAGGCAGGTTGGACCCTTGGAATATAGAGAGTATTGCTTGATTTCAGAAGTATGGAAAATGTGGGTGGCGTAGAAATATTTTTACAACGGCTCAGAGATTATAACAAATTATACCTTCATTTCACTTTATCCCACTGTGCATTTTACCTCGTACTTCCGTTTTACCCCACTCTTCTCGAATCGTGTAACCTATTTTATGGATTTTTTCTCTGAATTTTATTTGAAAAATGTAATACATTTAGGATAGACTCCTTACACACTGTTAAAAATTTTCGTCTGAATTTTCCGTGGCAAATCCAGGAAATTTTCATCGTGTTTGATTTCCACCGAAATTTCAGGAAATATTGTCATTCAAAAATCAGATATTCCATTAATGTTCGGTTCAAATGATCTGATAATCAATAAACTTCTTCATTTTTCAGTTAAATTGTTCCGTAAAAATTCAGAAAAATCAGGAAAATTCAGAGAAAAATTAAAAATTCATATAATTTTGTTTCTGGTCATTCATTTTTCATTAAAAATTCAATGTTTAAAAATTTCCAACAGTGCGCTGTTGACAAAAAATTGTCATTGTATGGACAATTGAGTAGTTATTTTTGAAGGAGAGACATACAATTCAATGAAGGAGCAAAATTTTATGCAATTTCACGTTTCCGAAAGAATTCAAGTGAATTAAAATAATTTCAAGTAGAAATGAGATGAATGAATTTTCCAAATTTCCACTGAACGATCAGAATGAAATCTATTCTTTAAATTTTCGATAGAATTTCACTCATTAAAAATTATTGTGGATAATTTCCTGTGGATATTTATGTCCATGTATGAAAAGATAGTTACATTACCTTCAGAGCTATCGACAGAAAGCTCGTTCCTAGAGAAAAACCTTTAACCATGAGGCTGATACTTGTAATATTGGCAATAGCGAAACGGAAAAGCATGATACTCAATACAGTAGTGGAAGTTATAGCGACAATGGGTATGGCACGATAGAAGATACTTGGATTAGGAACCGGCCATGTTCCAGTAAAAAGCATCCAATATTTAACATCGCTCGTGTACTTCTGGTATTCTCTGAATTTGATTTTCTCTTTAATTGTCCTCTCAGAAGAACCGATATCCATGCTGACGAATTATTTATATTCTATGAAGTGGAAAAGCGTCCACTCTGCGGTAAAAACTTGATGGCTGTGATATCGAACAAGAGCCTCCTTGGAAACTCATTTTAACTCATTTGTAAAAAACGACTTGTTGATTGTTCTTGATTGTTACAAAGTGGGTGAATAATGAAAGGTTGCCAATGAATGTTATTTCCTATATGATTGAATCGACTCGTTGAATGCCTTGCGCACTCGCATAGTAAAGACAGGGTCGCGTATTTCGTTGCGAAGGGGCTGGTATAGTTTCTCGTCTTCGTCTGTCATCTCAGAAACCTACGTGCAGTATCAAGTTGAAAAAAATATCTCGAATTATGAGTAACCACACGGTAGCCCAACAGAAGAATTTTTTATGGCAAGTGAATGGGTGGAGCGACACAATGTGGGTAAGGATAAGTGAAATGACTGTTGATATGGGTCTTTGCGTCGTCCTGTCTCGGTTTTTGCGGTGAAAGATGAAACTTGTGTGTCGACTTACTTTTGCACGAGTCTTCAGGCCTGTAAATTTAGAAAAATTCGAGCTACTGGCTGCGGGTTTCTTCTCATCATATTCGTTTCGCGGAGATCACCGAAAAATTTCTAGTTTTAAATGCTGCAGATACTTTAATTTGTCTCAACCGACGACAAAATTCGATCCGCTAGTCCTTCAAAAAGTTTTGACGTCCCATTTATGACGTCATTGAGGAGACATTTATGGCGGCTGTCACAATTCCCCTCCCCCTCCTCTAGGATCGTCACAATTTGTAAAAAAAAAATGACACTCATTTTTCATCTAAATAGATGCAACTTCAGTTTTTCTTTATCACTTTTTATTTGAATTCATTTCGTATCAGCCTAATGTGCATTTTGAACCGAAAAACACGGTAATTTTTCATTTCTAGAGATGAAAATATTTTTTTTATTTATGATCGTCACAAATTAGAAATTAGTTATGACCGGCATTATGCATCTATATAGAGATTTTGTCAACAATTTGTTTGCTAACTATTTGTGACCATCGTTTGTAGTTAGAAAATTTATGCGTCACATGACCGTCATTTTTTGGTGACGCGGTCTCAAAAATGACGGCATGGATGATGTCATGAACGTCATTTAGCATCTCTAATCTCTCTTAAACCCTACCGAATTCGTCGACATGAATTAAACGGTGGTATTGCGTGTTGGCTACTGCTTTCCTTCGTTTGAATAGAAGAAAATGGGGAACTGCGAGTCAAGAGACGAAATAGGAAAGCGAAAGATGAGACTGTGGTGTCAGATTGTTCTATGTAACGCGAAATAATAGACGAAGGCGCTCGACGAAGGTGTGAGTGACAAGAAGAGGTCCTCCACTAGAAGGGAACCCATCAACCTGATGGCTTTTACTTAGTGCCTCGGTGATCCCTGGGTTGCGTAATTCGCAGCAGGAAAGCATGTGTATGATCTCATACATTCATACTCGCATTATATACATGAGTGTGTGTATTACAAAGGGAATGTTTGGGTCACATGTACTGGGTGGAATGATACGTAAGAGTCGGAGGGGGTGAAGTACACAACGGATAATATTCGCGGTTTTCGATAGATTCAAATGAAAGATCGTGAAAGATTTTGTCGGTTACCTCAGAAATTTCTTGTAGTTTGGCCATTTAATGCAGCTGTTTATTGACTTCCATTAAATGCGGTCCCTCTTATCATCTCGACCTGCAACTAGTCCGGTGAATTTTCCTGGAGGAACCCCGTTTGTAAATTCGCTCCAGAAGGTGTCTGGTGTAATAAGAAAAATGATATTTTGGTGGCAGTGGCAGAAGTCCGGCTTTGAAAAATACTGTCGAGATGAGGGAAGGGAATCTCTGCTTTCCAGGACTTTCGATGAATACTGCATTAAAGAAGGCACCAACTTCAATTGAACTAGCACTTTACACAAAGATTTTAACATCGCGATTTAACGCAAAGTGTGAACTTCGCGATTTCTCGTGAAATTTAGACTTCAATTTCAACTTAACTAACGTTTTACACGAAGACGTTAAAATCGCGATTTAACGCAAAGTGTGCACTTCGCGATTTCTCGTGAAATTTAGACTTCAATTTCAACTTAACTAGCGTTTTACACGAAGACGTTAAAATTGCGACTTAACGCAAAGTGTGAACTTCGCGATTTCTCGCGAGGACAAGTCTAGACTTCAATTTCAACTTAACTAGCGCTTTACACAAAAATGTTAACATCGCGTTTTAACGCGACATCTCAGAAAGCCCTGTACACTATAAAGTTTATGAAAATATTTTCAACTATGAATAGTCAAGGGTAATCAAACGGAATATCATTTCCTGGAAAGTAAGGGTAAGGAAACGACTGTTGACGTGGGTCTTTGCTTCCTTCTGTCTCGGTTTTTGTGGTGAAAGATGAGACTTGAGTGTCGACTTACTATTGCATCAGTAAGCTAATTTCACGAAATTCAAGCCACTAGCGATCCATTTCTCCTTATCATATTCAAGTTTAAAAAACTCGATCTACTTTTTCTCAACAAGTTTGTAGTAGTTTCCTTCACGCTATCTATACCTTCCTACATCTCTCTCAAATCCCACCAAATTGCTCAACATGCATTCAATTGTGGTATTGCGAGTTGGAGAGAGCTTTCTTTCAACTTTCGTGTATAGAAAATATGGAGACGAAATAGGAAAGCGTAAGACGAGACTGCGGTGTCAGACTGTCCTATGCGTCGTGAAATAATAGAGGAAGGCGCTCGGCGAAGGTGTGAGTGACAAGAGATCCTACACTGAAATGAAACCCATCAACCTGATGGTTTTTACTTAGTGCCTCGTTGATGCTTGCATTGCGTCATTTACAGAATGGGAGTGTGTACAATCTTATACATTCATACAGACATTTCGCGCGTCGATGTGTCATATGGACTGGATGAAATGACACTAAGAACAGATTGGTTGAGTGCGATAAAGACATTGGATAATGGTTGTGTTTTCGCATGTGTAGGAATGGAAGGAAATTATCTGAAATCTATTGGAAAATACACTGTTAGAAATTTTTTGAAATTTCATGGAAGATATAATAAAACTTATGAGGGTGAAATTGAATCGGGTTCAATTTTCAGTGGGAGTGAGATGGAAACTTCACAACTTGATTGAATTTTCAGTGGAACGTGAAACAAAATGACATGAATTCAGTGGAATATTTAGAAACAAAATGACATGAATTTTCAATTTTTCCCTGAATTTCCCTGATTTTTGTGAATTTTCAATCGATTATTTTATTAGCTTTTAGTTCCTTTGAACAGGAAATCAATAGATATTTGATTTTTGAATGACAAGATTTCCTAAAATTTTTAACAGTGTATGATTATGAAGACATTTCTTTTGTATCTAGAAGAAAAGCTCCATATTTGTCCCAGGAATTTTCCAATAAACTACAGTTCGTCAAGATAATTGAATGTTCATAATCATGGAAAACTAGAATAACATTTTTATTATGAAACAAACAACAATGCGGAAATTCACTTGAGGTCAATCACAAATTGGGGATTATGATGCTTTCTCCTCAAACGTCTGCAGCAAGAAGAAGTACGATACGGCTGTGTTCAATGTCTGTAGCAAAAAAGTACATGGGTTAGACAGACGGCTCATCTGCTCAGCGAAAATGTTATTGTATACCATTAGGAACATATCGAGGGAAATATAGACGCAACCCGCAGCTACGATTACGAGAGGCTTTTGCGTCAGAATTATTAAAACTGAGGTCCTCAAACGTTGACATCCATTACTCACCCAGTCACAAAAGTACACGGATTTTCCCAACGCTTCACTCTGATTCCAACACATCCAATTACAGATGATAATTGTAATTTCCAGAAAGGAAGTTATGGTTAACTTACCTCAGCAGTCAGACTCGATCCAGCCCAACTATACAGATAAGTCTGCATTATTTTTGTTCCACTGTAACCGAAAATGAGCAAATATCTTCCTATAGAAATGCCTGACACCTGGAAAATAGTGGAGGGAGATTGTGATCCGTTTATTTATTAGTGAAAGAGCTGTTAACTGAATTTTTAAAGAATATCTCAGAATTCCAGAGATCATAGAATTTTTCAGCGAATAATTTTTGAAAAAAAAAATTACAGATACACAAGGGGAAGTTATTCTCGTGTTCTGAGGTCTGCAGTCTGTTATTCTATGTTTTTTTAATCATTTTCAGTAATCAACTGATAGTTGAGAATGGATCAAACCCTTTGGCCACAGAAAAAAATTCTATAAAAAAGGTGTCAAAATTTTTTTTACTTAAGTCTGAGATATTCTTGGAAAACTCGTCACTACTTCATAACAGAATTGTAACTCAAATTCTAAATAACATACATGCGTAACTTGGAATAAGACGGTACAAATTACAGTTGAATTTGTTACAACTTGCCACAAAATGATGGGTCCATAAATTGTTTGTAACATTTGACAGCACTTCTTCAACACTAAGAATTTCGTGACCCATTGGCGTACAATCGCGTTATGATCGTCTGTTGCTTTAAAATTGATCATTTGTTCGCTGAGAACTCTGAGCTGACCGATGACAAAAAAAATGTAGAACTCAAATAGTCCGTCGATTCCAAGAGTCACGACACCTATAGCTATGACATTATACGATTCGTATATAAACGTCAATATATAAAGTAATCCTATATCGTGTGTGTTCCACGGGTAGACAGCCGGCGTTGGAAGTGTGTATTTCAAGGGACGAATGTTCCTACGAATTTGAGCTACAAAGAGTAACATTGGGCCGATGATACAAAAGACACAGCCAAACAGGACACAAATTGATAAGATCTTTGTTAGACGTCGGAAGCCAGTTAATTTTTCCAAAACAAAATATCTTGAGTTCTCGTCGGCTAGGGACTCTTTATGAAAACCGTCCAGTATTGTATGTATCTCCAGCAATCTTAATCTGTGGAATTTGAAAAGAGCCACCTGAAAGGAATGTACAAATGAAACGTAGATATCCCTTCCCTTTGAGTCGGGAAGTTAATAATTCAAAATTATTACTCAAGACGCTATTTCCGTTACAGACAACTCATCCCGGACAATTCATCCCGAACAAATTCATGCCGCGACAAATGAAAATAATGAAGAAAATGGAACGAAACTGTCTCGAAACTCACCTGCCCCCGTCCCAAACAAATAATTTAAAATTACTACACTGATAGAAAGGATTAGTTATTGTCAACAAATGGATTTGATTGGAGACTAGGGTCTATTCGGTCTCATCAAATGCTCATTTTAATAGTTAACAAATGGAGATTTGAGGAATCTTGTTTGACTCGACATTCACCTTTCAAGTAAACCTTTCGTTAACTATTAACGAATATTTATTTGGTCGCATTCAACTCTACCATTCGTTAATAGTTAACGAATCTCATTTGGAATAAATGAATCATTCTATCAGTGTATTAAAGACCCTATTACCGTTATAACCTTTCTCAGGTTCTATTAGGTGAATTCATGCATTTTTTTACTCCAAATAAAAATAATGAAGAAAATTGAACGAAACTGTCGTGAGATGAACTGGTTTGGGAATGAAATTGTTTGGTATTATAATTTTCGGACCCGGCCCCTTTCGCCCCTCCCCCCAACCCGCCATAAATATCACTGTACCTTCATAGCTACCGATAGAAAACTCGTTCCAAGACTAAATCCTCCCACCATAACGCCAATATTTGTGATGTTGGCAAAGACAAATCGAAACTGCTGAATACATATCAAACTAGTGGAAGTGAAAACCAAAAAAGGTAGGGCGCGATAAAAGAAATTAGCATCCTTGATTGGCCATGAACCACTGAAATATGCCCAATATTTAATATTGCGCCTAAACCGATAGTACTCCTGTAGTTCGATTTTCGTTTTTTCTGCCCTCTCCGAAGCACTGATGTCCATATGTACTAATTATTTGTATTCGCTGAAGTGAAAAAGTGCATACCTTATAGTGGAACCTTCATAAGTTTATCAGCGGAGATGGATGGGACTAGTAACTCATGGTATATTCATAGCAGTTTGTAAATTGATTGTGATTACTCGTTAGGAAACGATTTTCTAATGACTGACTACTATACACTATGTTATCTCATCGACTCGTTAAGTGATATTATCGAGCTAAAGACAGGTTCGCTGATTTCTCAGCGGTTCCACCGGTTTAGTTGCTAGTAGCACTGTCCGCGAGACGAGACCAGACGAAATAGTGAAAAGTCTCGTTTGGGTTTCGTCGGTCTCGTTTGATTGAGATAGAATGAGAAAAAAATCACTGTCAAAAGTGATTGATCACGACAGTCAAGGGCCATAAGAATTATACATCGTGAGAATTGGGACTCGGAAGAGTCAAATGTCACAAAAAACCTGCGAGGAGTTCGATTTGTACAGTATTGAATAGGTGGTAGGGATAAAGTGGCAAAACAGAGTCTTCAATCATTAGTATCCCTTGACCAAGGGGTACGATTTTAATCAATCAACCTTCATTTTAAAGCTTCTAGAGAAATCGAAAAATAATAATAATCGAAAATTTTTATTTTGGGGGAAGATTGATGAAATAATATAAAAATTGCAATTTTGGAAAATTACGAGCATTTTCTATAAATAATTTATTAACAATAAATTTTCTATTATAAAAATTATTTGTTCGAAATCGTAACAAATTTATTTATATTCAGTATTTTACCAAAAAACAATTTCATGTCTAAAAACGAGGCTTATGAAAGTTTGGATAATCTCAATTGTTTATTAATCAAAAATGAATATTAAACAGAAAAATAATTCTGTGCAAATTGTAATTTGAGTGACGTCAAATTAATAGACAAATTTAATGATTGACAATGGTTGAATCTGTATTGTGTTCTGTACCAAACCGTAAAAGATACTCGGATATCCTTAAGGCATGGTCCATGAAGTTCGATAGATTTGTGCCTTATTAGTTGGTCCATTTTCCAATCGGAAATCGATAGAAATGAGAGGGGGAAGTCCTGCATAGAGAATACTTCGTATGCCATTACACCGCTACATACAAAGGAAAATAATGGCTAGTGCGCTTCTTGTTGCCCACCCTTCTTCATCTTTTACCGCTGAGAATCGCTTATCGAAACAACCGAGTAGTCATCGTTTTCCGGGAAAAGAAGGGAGTGAAGTTCTTTCTGGGGAAGAAAAGTATAGAGTAATCAAAAAGCAATCATGTCAATTATGGCAGAATTTTTTTTCCCTTCTCGGAGAGCAGTCGTTGATTGACTTCCGTGAGATACACTTCGTCTCAGTATCGCTCACTGCCATACAGTCTTGACTTACTGGGAGTTTGTTACATAGGATCTCACAGGTTACATATTTTTTATTTTATCATATTCCATTATTTGAGTCTAATGTTTTCACGAAACACTTGGAATCAATAATCATTCTTCCCATTCGCCACACAGATGATGTAGATGACCCTTTGTCCAACGGTTACACGCAGTAGCAGACTCATGAATAATGAAATACAGGATTATTGTTCATTATCGAAAGCTTGCAATAAGAAAAAGTAGGATAATGTTGTATTCAGAATCTGAAAAACGTATAGCAATTCATTACACTTAATTCGATTCTCAATTAATTCGTGTTCATGAACATACTGCTGTGACCAGATTAACAGAGATGAAGACGTAGCTGCAGGCCTTCAAACGAATGGGTCTCTGCATGAGAATAATTCGAACGTGATATCCAGCGGATTTCTTTCCAAGATTTTCCCATCCTGTCCCATAAACCTCATTCCGAAAATTGTCACACTGTAATGAAGAGAATAATTCGTATAAATTTATACTCTCATTAGGTAGATCCGTTCACCTCTGTTGTGATAAGAGTTCCTGCCCATCCGTATATCAAAGTCTGTAGCAATTTCACGCTGATATATACAAAAAAAAATATCTGTTTCACGGATATTGTCTTCATCTGTAAAACATCGTAAGTTAGCACAAGTGGAAAAAGCAACATCGTTCTGCGATTGAAAAAATGCTTGAGAATGAGTTTTGCTCATGCTCAGACTATTTTGAGCGTGTTTGAGCTAGCTTGAGCTCAAAACTCTTGGAAGTTATGATTAACGTGAAGTCTACATGATGAGTTTGGGATGGAGTATCCAAAATAAAGTAACCAAATTTCCTTCCAGAAACATAAAACTTATCGCAAAGATATAAGCAAGGAAGATAAGAAATCATGAATCAATGGAAATATTCATAAGACTGATTGATCACCTGACTGATTTGGAATATTAAACAGCACAGAATGATGGCAGTCGTCGCCATCATTGACAGAACAATGGGCCCATGTATGGCTTGCAACATTTTACAACAGCGTATCAATCTCTGATGTATATTGATGAGTTTTTGCAAATGTTTCTCATAACCAGTCTTGAACGTAAAATGTCTCATCTCATAAGTCAAGGCTCTTAGGTGGCCGATGATTTGAGAAGAATATAAAGCAAAAAGATTGTCGATACTAGCCGTAATAGAGAATAAACAGAAGCACCCATAACTCTCCATCACATAGTGAAGTACATAGAGTGCACTTCCACCTGGGATATGATACGGGTACACAGCAGGATAGGGCAAAAGATAATGAATTGGTGTTACACCATGACTGTATTGATTGGCCATTATTATGAGGGGTGTGATGAAGTACATTCCAACGACAGTGAAAGCCGAACACATCAGAAGCACGGAGAGTACTTTAAAAAACTTGAAAGAAGATAATGTTCGAGACAGTAACTGTTCATCTTCCTGTTGCCTTCTTAAGAGTTCATTTATTGTACCATTCAGCTCTGTGAGCTCTTCACGATGTACTAGATAACAAATCATCTTGAATTTTTACGTTTTTAAACGTCTCAAATCTGAGCTTCATAGACTGAAAAGTAAGACAATACCTTCACAATGCCATTGAGGTAGCTCAGAGATATGCTCGTGCCTTTCATCACACGATTCAAGTTATGAATATTGACACAGGCAAAATTCATAGTGGTACAAAAAATCATGAAGGGTGCGAAACCGATGAAATATGGAAGCAATCGGTAAAACATGCTCGGTTTCTCTGAAGGCCATATTCCACATATTATTGCGAGACGTTTCACACTTTCTGCATATGATGTGTAACTTTTTAGGAGATCTTTACCCATAGTTTCGACTGTGAGCCATCAACTTGTGAGGTTCAGATTCTGGGAGTCATCTATATCCTTCACTGAATCAGATTATGTTGAATTAGTGATGAAGATAATTTTCTCTCATCTATCGACGATTACACTGGATGCAGTCAATTTTCAAAAATGGTTTATGATGATTGTCGAGAGTAATTGGGAAATTACCCATACGTGAAGTTAATTATCTTATAGTCGTCAGCTGTAATTCATAGTTTGGACAGTTCACAGTTACACTCACACGGGAATACTGCAATATTGTTACTGACCTCTAGTGTTGCACAGTAAAGAAGCTTGCAAATTTTGGACTATTTTTGCAACAACAGCAACAGCAGTAGTATTACTGGAGTGACATGAAATATATAGTTTTTCGAATTATCCTCCACTACTTCCCTTGATCAATAAATTTTAATAACAAAAAATACGAGGACGCCGAGTATCGTGACTTACAACTAGTTTGTTACATGGGATCCCCCAAGTTACATACTGTTCATTTTGCCCGGTGGCTTGGCGCAGTGGGTAAGTTCGTTGCCTCACGTGCGAAAGGTTCCGAGTTCAAAACCCGGCCGAGTAGAATGGTGAGATCTAACCATTTAAAGTCTTGATCATCATCGCAGCATACCCTCACCGGGTCAAAGCGATGTAAAATAACGATAAAAAAAATACTTTTCATTTCATTACATTTTATTTTTTGAAGCTAATGTTTTCATGAAGCAATTAAAATCAATAAACATTTTTAATCATAAGAATCATTGTCATTCGCCACACAGATGATGGCCTTTTGTCCAACAGTTTCACGCAGTAGGGCAGCCATGAATAATGAAATACAAGATTATTGTTCATCATCCAAAGTTTGTAATAAGAAAAAGTAAGATAATGTTGTATTCAGAATCTGAAAAACGTATACTAATTCATTACACTTGATTCGATTCTCAATTAATTCATGTTCATGAACCTACTCCTGTGAGCACATTAACTGAAATGAAGCTATAGCTGCACGCCTTCATTTGAATGGGTCTCTGCATGAGAATAATTTGAACGTGATACGCAGCAGTTTTAGTTCCAAGTTTTTCCCATCCTGTCCCATAAACTTCATCCCGAAAATTTTCACACTGTAATGAAGAAAATAATTCGTATTAATTTGTACTCTCATTAGGTAGATCAATTCACCTCTGTTGTGATAAGAGCTCCTGCAAATGCGTATATCGTAGTTTGTAGCAGTTTGACGCACATAAATCCAATGAAAAATACCATCTGTTTCACAGATATAGTCTTCATCTGTAAAACATGGCATGTTAGCACAATTAGAAAAAGTAAGATATTTCTGTGAAAAGAAATGTTTGAGAAAGGGTTTTGCTCGCGCTCGAGCTGATTTGAGCTTGTTCGAGATAGCTTGAGCTCAAAACTTTTAGAAGCTATAGTTAATGTGTGAAATGCATGATGGTTTGGAATAGAGTTTAAGTTTGCACCCAATCCCTCCCCGAAAAATAAAACTTACTGCAAATACATAAGCAAGGAAAATGATGATGAATAATGAATCAATGGAAATATTCGTAAGACTGATTGATCACCTGACTGATTTGAAATATTATACAGCACAGAATGATAGATGTCGTCAGCATCATTGATAGAACGATGGGGCCATGTATTACTTGCACCATTTCACAGCAGCGTATCAATTTCTAATGTATTGTTACAAGTTTTTTGAACTGTTTCTCATAACCAACCTTGAACGTAAAATGTCTCATCTCATAAGTCAAGGCTCTTAGGTGGCCGCTGATTTGAGAAGAATATAAAGCAAAAAGATTGTCGATGCTAGACGAATTGGAGAAAAAAACGAACAATTCATAACTCTGCATCACATAGTGAAGTAGATAGAGTGCACTTCCACCTCGGATATGGTATGGAAACACAGCAGGATAGGGCAAGAGGTAACGAATTGGTCTTACACCCTGAATATATTGATTGGCCATTATTACGAGGGGTGTGATAAAATAAATTCCAAGGACAATGACAGCCGCACACATCAGAAGCACGGAGAGTGCGTTGAAAAACGTGAAAGGAGATAATATTCGAGATAGTAACTGTTCATCTCCCTGTTGCTTTCTGAAGAGTTCATTCATCGTATCAAGCAGTTCTATGACCTCTTCACGATATATTATGTAACAAATCACCTTGAATATTGACGCTGTTAAACATCTGAAATCTGAGTTTCATAAAATGAAAAGCAACGCAATACCTTGGTAATGCCATTGAGGTAGCCCAGAGATATGCTCAGGCCTTTTATCACAAGAGTTAAGTTATCAATATTGACATATACAAAATTCGTTGCGGCCCAACAAATTATGAAGAGTATGAAACCATTAAAATACGGAAGCAATCGGTAAAATATGCTCGGTTTCTCTGAAGGCCACATTCCACATATTATTGAGAGACGTTTCACACTTTCCGAGTATGATGTGTAACGATTCAGAAGATCTTTCCCCATACTTTCAACTGTGAGACATCAACTTGTGATATTCACTTTCTAGAAGTCATCTATATCCTTCAGTGAATCAGATTATGTTGAATTAATGATGAAGATAAGTTGCTCTTGACACTGGATGCAGTCAATTTTCAGAAATGGTTTATAAGGATTATTGAGAATAATTTGGAAATTAGCCGTACGTGAAGTTAATTGTTCTTATAGTCGTCAGGTGCACTGATAGAACGGTTTAACGAATCGCGGTAATAGTTAAGAAGCCTCGTTTGGTGCAACTGAATCGTTCCACCTTTTCTATCAGTGTGTATTCTATAGTTTGGAGTTGACAGTTGGACTCGCATGGGAATTCTGCAATATTGTTACTGGACTTTCGTGTTGCACAGTGAAGAAGCTTGCAAATTTCGGACTATTTTTGGAACAACAAAAAGTTGAAGCCCTCTCTTCGCTTCTTCTGGGTGTAGGCAATAGAAAACAACATTTTACATTTTCATACATTAATTCAATTTTGATTCAAATATACTGTATTATGGGAATGACATGAAATATTCAGTTTTTCCGGTTATCCTCCACTACTTTCCTTGGTCAAGAGATTCTAATAAGAAAAAATACGAGAACGAAGCCGTAATGATCTAGAAAGGAGAACAAATCAAGATTACCTACATTGAAAAAGAATAGATAATGAAGATATTCTTGTTTTTCTGAGGATATCAATCGAAAGATACATTACCGATGAAGCCAGGGGAATGGATATGACGAAGAATCCATAAACATTTATCGCGATGGGCGATCCTTCTGCTGCAGCACATGTGCAACGTGGGTCATGAATTTTCTGTTGTAGACATCCGGCCACTTGCAGGAATAAATCGCATTGCTCAGGTTCTCACTCTGAAATCAGGGCGTGTAATGTTGTATTAAATGTATTTGGTGTTGAGAATGAATGGAGAGGGCTGCGTACCTCTGAAATCAACACCAAGCCATACCACCCACAAGTCAATATCTGCAAGTATTTCAATAATATCCAACCGACATATATGAGCAGCATTCTCGTGTTGAAATCTGCAATCTATCTATCGGCTTTGAAAATGCGGATTATGATTCAAATGAGTTACACGACTTATCAACGGGAAGACATTTCCACTACATTTTGACTTTCTCGCTCATCTCTAAATGAATTAGATTCATTTACGTATTATTTACAAAAATAATAGCATCACTCGTGAATATTTCAAAGTAGGTACATGGAAAAGGCAATACCAATATAGTGGGAAGTACGTTAGCTACAATTTGATAGAGAATGAAAAGAAGTGGAACAATAACGTAATTGAACACCAGCATTTTGTAGCATATGAACAGAAATTTCATTGATACTGTGAATATCTTGACAGTCGTTTTATTCAGGGTTACAGTCGTTGTATCGACGCAATAGAATCGCAAGTCACTGTCTAATCGTTCATAGATTTCTAGAAATGTATGTTTGTAAATCACCGTTGCCATCAGCTTGAAATGACAATGTTTAGTGGCTCCCTGAACATTTTAGTCTTTTCATAGTGTTAATAATCTTATTGTAGTACCTTGAAAGGAATGGTGGTGAGAGCAACTGCGGGAAATAGACATTCGGTCATAGAACTCATATCCGATGAATTGAAAGCTTTCTGAAAGATCGTGCAACTAATTAGTACCGCACCAATCGTCGCGTAACACGGTAAAAACATTTTGACAAAACGTTGAAATCTGGTTGTACACCATATCGGGCAGTACTGCAGCAATATTCTGACGATTTCGTCACGAGTATTATATTGCTCCAAAACAAAATCACACATTGTGAGGGGTCTTTACATACTGCTGTCGGCTTCGTCGGAGAGAGGGCTTTCAAAGTCATTGTTGAATAATGTGGGGAGACATGAACTCGTTAATAGTAATACTCTTTGAAGTTATCGAATTTTTTGCATGCTCTAACGACTGGAGGTAGAAGAGAAAATCATCGCATCATGGAATATTACAAAGAAATCGATGCCCACTCATCGCAATTATTATAAATCACGAACAATTGTTACTTTTGTAACAGTCGTTTGTGGTCTTTTCTGATGACTTGGCTGATAAATATCAGTTGAATATCAGAAACTGAGTGCGCTAGATATTCTGCAATATTTTAATTTGGAAAATTATTATTTGGGTGTGTAGAATGTTATGAAATGATGATCAATTTCAAGGATGAAGAGCCTATCGTTAAAAACATAAAGTTTAGTGAAGTTGTTTTATATCGACGTTTGTTTCAGTTGTATGGAAAATATATATTATTAAGGAATCATAATTTCTATGCCACCTGGGCCCTCGAAATTTACATAATAAAGACACACTGCCATATTAAGCTAATTTTAAAGTCACAATCCCAAGTTCTGTCATGTCGAAATACATTGAAACTGCCTGTCTAAAAAAATTCCATTATCTGAAGCATATTTTCTTGAGAGAACCACTGTGCCCATTGAGTCAGTGTGACCAGTGGACACAGTGGAATCCCTGCATTATCGGCCGGTTGCACGACTGAGGTTTTCCATGGTTTCCCTGGCAGTCCAATCCCGAATGGGGTGCAGTTGGGGATAAAGTAAGTCGGCCCATGGTAACGCAGATAGGGAAGGGAACAAAATGTAAAAACCCGAGAGGGTATACATATGGAACCAAAAATAAAAAATAATTAATGAATGAATCTCGTAAATTTCAATTTCTTAAATTTTTCTGAATAACCAGCCTATTTTCCTAATCCTTCGTCATTATCGTCTTTTACGAACGTCACAAATCAGCATTTTTCGCACCTTTTCTCCTAGCAACGATTGGAATTACTGTCTGAACAATTGCGAGTGGAGTCTGGGTTGGAGTGCAGGATGTGCATACTTCTCGTATTGCCATCCGAGGTACCGAATACAATGAAACTCCAAGTGACATTTCCAAGTGTAATCTCGGCATTCAAAGTGGGATCATACTGAACAATGCACCCAGAGTATTTTGACGTTTCAAATCGGAAAAAAATCGAGATTCCATTCAAACTGTTCACGCTGACAATTCGCAGTTTTTATTGGCACGATTTTAGCCTCAACACACACCAGTTTTAATTATACTTTTTTTCTGCTCTTCAGATTCGAAATTGGAAAGGTGGCTGCAGGATATTGCCGTCGCTTCAGGGATTTAGAAAATGGTATTCAATATTGCATTCGTGAATGTAAAGATGTGTGTTTGAATGATTGAATGCATTCTCTGTGTGTGTGAAAGCAGCAATGGCTAAATTGAAAAATTATTCATGAAATTGCAACGAAGAAATTGTTATTTTTAATGACGATCCAGATGAAAGACACAATTAAAGATTTATTTTTGGTGCTACATGGTCATTAAAATTATGAAATTTCAGGCGATTATTCTTCCGAATTGTCAAACTTTTCAAAATTCAATGTAATTCAATACTCGGTCAAGTTTTTAAAATTTTGAGAATCAATCAGAAATTTAAAGAAATAACTGTAGCTGTGTATCTCATCCGAGAATTGTTCTTATAGGTCAGTCGGTGGAATATCGATCGCCGCACAGGAGGTGCTGAGTGGGGATGTACGCTCAGAGGAGTCACAATTGTGAGTAGAGAAAAACTAAACATCTCATTGATTACCAATGTCGATCATCCCTGTCACATGAGACAGTTTAGAAATTTTTTGAAATCTCATGGAAAATATGATAGTAATTCTCATAAAAGTGCCATGGAATCAGATTGAGGGGAAAAACGGTTGACAACTTGATTGAACTTTCAGTGGAACATGAATATTCAGAACCAAAATGACACGAATTTTCAATTTTTCCCTGAATTTTCCTGATTTTTCTGAATTTTCATAGAATAATTGAACTGAAAAATAAAGCATTTTATTGATTTTTAGATCATTTGAACAAAAAATCAATGGAATATTTGATTTTTCAATGACAAGATTGCCTGAAATTTAAGTGGGACTTGAAACTTTTAACAGCGTAAGATGATGAATGATGGATAATTTAAAAAAATCCAAAATATTGATAAAAGACTGGTCCTCTCATTCTAATTTCCAAACGGCTCTTGATGGGAGTGCAGGAGGCATGCGCTCAAAAAAAATTTGGACTCTGATAAATTTCCAAAAAAGAAATCAAAATCAACCGCCTATAGACCGTCTATAGCCTCCGCGGGAGAAGAACAGACGAAAAGGTTGAGGACAGTTGGATCGATGCTCGGTGAGTTATCGTATAACTCCATAACAAGGGCTCGTTATATCTCCCACCACCCCCCGGAGACAGTTGTCTCCAGCACTTATTGAAGCCGTCCCGCGTTTTTCAAAACCGTTTATCAATCGGTGACGCTATACGAAGATGGAAAATCGCTGTCTGGCGCCGGCAAAAATGTTCAACGTCTCGACAGATAATCGAGGACAATTTTCTGAAAAAAATTGATTTCCACAGGCGGTGGGCAGTCGCGTGTGAGCTTTCATCGAGGCACCTTCGTCCTGAGGACTCCGTCTTCAGAGAGCTGTCATCTTGGGGGAGTTGGAGATTTTTCGACGGCCGTCAACCATCAGCATATCAGGATTGAGACGCAACATGATGGCTCGATCCATTTCTCGTCAAGTTTGTGACGATCTTTCGGGATATTTTTATATTGAATTTCTAATATTTCATTTGTTTCTAGGAAGGGTTAATTGACTGAAGAGGTGGTGTGAGAACTATTCAAGGTCTAATCGGGGAGTGGGAAATGTGAAATGAGATCTGAGGAAGTGCTTGAATTTAATCGTCAATGGCGTTAAATAACAGGAAAAGTCGCATGAAAAATAATTCAAATTTAAAGCAGAAGAGCCGAATATGATAGCAATCAAGCAACCATTAATCAGTCATCTTTAGGAAGACAACATGCAATTCGATGAACTCGAGCTCCACATTTCGCAGGTAAGTCTTTCTTCATCTCATTCTTCACAAAAACATTTAATTATTCTTTCATATTGACATTATGTTCCTAACAGCTCATTTTTTTCTGTTTGCAAATTAGAATACTACGTATACATACATATATATTTTTTTATTTTAAGCACTCACTGCATATTCTGCAAAAAATTCACTTCTGGGTTAAGTGTTTAACAATAAGCAGAGTTCAAACTCTTAGATCAGAGGAATCTAAGAATTGGTCTGTGATAAGTATTGAAACTTTACCAAGTGTAACGAAAAAAAAAAAGGATCACCCTTCACTATTTTTCGAATTTTCAAACAATTTTTTTGTAATACCTGCCTCAAAAGTTCACTTTTCGAAACCGTTTAGTGCGTGTAAAGTGGTTATTTTACGCACAATGTGCGTAAAACTCAGAGGTCGTGCGTAAAGTGAATTTCAAGTGCGTAAAGCTTCGCACTCGACTGAACTCGGCAGGTATTACAAAAAATAGGATGTGTTACGCGTGCATGCAAATAAGTGGTTCTTTACGCACTTGTAACACAATATACTATTTTGAAACAAATTTTCATTAAAATAATTTGGAATAACTCTAAATATTAATTATTGTCAATAAATTTCGTTCAAGATCATATGTAGCATAATCATCCCATAATTCAACATAATTGTAATATTTTGAGATAGACTCGGCCTGGAAGAATGCGCTCCTAAAAAGATGAATTCTTCTCCCAAGAAAATGATTCCTTGACAAGTGCAAATCGAATTTAGGTCAAAATCAGAAAATGGCAATCGATCCTACAGCCAATCGATATGAGAATGCTTCAAGCGTCGGTGACATGAGCCGATGCCCGACGAATTATCTTATACCCAGATATCAAAAGCCTGCTACAATTTGCAATTTCACCCTTCGCTTCAACCCTTCACGGGTAATCGTTTACCGAAGCAACTCCACAATCTTGAGCCGAAGAAAACGATTTGAAATCGCAAACTCCTGTCGAGGAAAATTTCCCCACTGTCATTACCGTAATGGTGGGTAATTTTCGAAAGAAAATTTTTCCCCTCGAGTCGGAGTGCAGTCGTTCGCCGACTTCCATCGAGTTCACTTCGTCCACAAGTGTCTCATTGCGGACGAGCGTCACTCCAGGGTACTTCTGATTCTTCAATAGTTCTATTCCACCCGAAACCCCAGCATATCTCGGCTGCTGTATCAAGTGAATAAAATAGAAGAGTTTTAAAAAAATACACCGCCAACTGATTAATTCCATTTTTTCACTAAATAAGATTCCCTGGCGTTCCGCTAATGCCATCATAATTCACCAGTGACGTGACAATTGTTTTCTCTATTTCCAGGCCATCCATTCTCCCTCCAAATAATTTCACCTGACAACGAAAAATGTTTTGAATAATCTGCCGAGATCATGGAATGTGAATACCAGCTGCTGTGGAAATTATGAAACGTGCAGACGAACATCAAAAGGAGGATTAATTGTCGCTCTCGTCAGACTGAGAATTTCATTTGGAGAAATCCCCCCACCCCCTCCCCTCTCACCAAAACTTGAATCAGTGATGAAAATACAGAGCAGGTAAATATGAAAGCATATTCTCTAATTTATCGTGATATTTGTCTGGCGTATACACACGGGCTGGCATATTCAGCGCCCCTACATCTTGTGTTTACCATTTAATCCAGTAGATATCTACATGTATTTTATGTATACTTAACATCCTTCGCTTTGCCATCTCAAAATTATGTTTCTTTGCATATGAGGATTTTAATTAAATTACCGAAAGTTTATTCGAAAATGCGAATGGCGCATGCCTCTCAACTATTTTCATTAGAATAAAGTCTACTGTACTCTTGTGTCGAGGAATCACTGCAGAATTTTCAGTGTCAGCCGACAAATAGTCAGGAGGAAACAATCATCTCAACTTGTTGGATGAAGCTGTTGTTGGGTTTGTCAAAACACAAACATCTGGATGTTTGTGTTTTGATGGACAGTTGGAGTCCGTCGTTTGTGCCCTCTAGGCACCTTCACCTTTACATTGCAACTGAAATTAGATCGTCTGGTGCTGAAGGGCTATGAACAGTACAACCTTTGCAGACATTTTCATGTAATTTTCATGATGGTATTAGTTGGAATATTCTCATCCTTTATCCGAGTTTTGCTCTCATCATTTTGCTGCAACTGAAACTGACACAGCTGTCACACAGTTTCAACAGCATCGTTAATTATTGTAGTTGTAGGAGACTGATTTTATGGGAGTAAACATTTAGATGGCATATACAGAAACTTTATGATTCGACAGTTGGTTTCGGTCAATACCAACAGATTGGCGAATGTTTGAGGCGCATGAAATGAATTTATACCATGTGTAAGCAATTTTGAATATCTCCAAAAGATATTGATGAATGGATGATAATACTAAAAGTATCAACGGGGATGGACTAGTCCAGTGAATCGAAACTGAATCTGAAATTGACGAATAGTTTCTATGAAACTGCCCTGTACGAGCCCCAGAAGGTCCTAGATGACCTTTATATCACCTCCATTAGACCTTCATCTGACCCTAAATGACCACACATGACCTACATTGTACGCATTTGATATCTGACAATTGTCTCTTATGAAACTACCCTATCTGAAGCCCGGAAGACCCTATATAACCTTTACACAATCCCCTTTAGGCCTTGATCTGATCCTAGGTGTCCTCCACATAACCTTCAGCGTAGCCATGGAATACCTCACATTTATTGCATATAAAACTACCCCATAGAACCCCTAGATGACCCCATCTGGCCTGTTTATGACCCCCTTTGGGCCTTCATGTGGCCCGAGGGGACCTCCACGCGACGTTCATCACACCCATTTCATACCTGACAATTAGCGCACATAAAACTGCCCTATATGACCCTCACAAGGTCCCATATGACCTCCATGAGACCTTCATCCGACCCTAAATGACCTTCTCATGACCTACATCGTACCCATTTGATACCTGACAATTGTCTATGGAACTACCTTATCTGAATCCCAGAAGGCCCTGTATAACCTTTATACGATCCCCTTTAGGCCTTGATCTGATCCTAGCTGTCCTCCACGTGACCTTCACCGAAGCCATGGAATATCTCACATTTATTACACATAAAACTTCCTTATAGGACCTCCAGATGACCCATCAGACCTTTTTATGACCCCCTGTGGGCCTTCATCTGGCCCTAGGGGACCGCCACGCAACCTTCATCATACCCATGTCATACCTGACAATTATTTCATACGAAACTACTCTATATGACCCCTATCTGAACCTGCCTGACCTTTATATGACCCCCTTTATACCTTCAGCTGGCCCTAGGTGACCTCCACGTGACCTTCATCATACTTATTTCATACCTGACAATTATTTCATCTGAAATCACCCTATATGACCCCCAGGAGACCCCATATAACCTTCGCAAGACCCCGATTGGGCTTTCATCTGACCGTAGATAACCTTAATATGACCTCCATGTGACCCCATATGACCTGCGTATGACCTTCATCACACTCTAGATGCGATAACTAGGTAACCAAATGAATTATGCTCAATTGAAATATCGGAACGAATAGTTACAAGAGCCAAAATTTCCGTAAAAGTTTTTTTTAAATAAGTTAAAACACATGAGACAGTATTTCCCACTTTCTGATTCCCTCACTGACTATTAAAATACCAATCCCATGGACAAACCCATCTCCAATTTTCCCTCCCAGTTCAAATTCATTTTTAATGAACTCATAAGCAACACATTGTCACGAGTGCGTGCAATCATAAAGCAGCTGTTTCTCCACATTTTCCACCCCTTCCCATCTGCAACCCAGTTTCATAAACTGTTGGTTGTCGAGACAATAAATCAGATTACGCGAAACATTTTGCGCCATTCGCAAAGCACCTCAACCCTCTCCTGTACGTAAAATATCCGCACTACTGCGGTTACCAAAGCGCATTATTTAAATGGTTGGAAAAAAAACCTTATGGAGAAGCATCACTCGAAAAAAATAACTGCAGATAAAGAATAACTGCAGATGTTTTTTCATCGGGACAATGCTATGTGTAACCATCAAGAATTGTCTTTGTTGTTTTTTCAAATGGAATTTTGTCGTGTAAAAATGATGAATTTACATTGTTTGACTTTTTGCTTCCGAATGGAGGCTTTGTAATCGTCGTTTTTTACGATCTTATAATTTCCGCCGAAATTATTACCAGGGTAAACAGCACATTCGGGAGAAAATTCTATTGGTTTTCTGTCGATTTTGTTTTAAAAAATCCGCACATTTGTTTCAATAAAAATATTTCACAGAAAAAACTACTACATTCAGCTATTTCTTAAAGAAATCCCTCGGCATGAATTTAATTTTGAAAAAAAGTTCTATAGGAAGACAACATTCGAAAAAGCGCAGAGGAGTTGGGGAAATCTAATAGAATTTCCCAGCGAATTCGCTCGATTTTCCCATGTAATTTTTTCGAACCTCGTTGCTTCATCTACATAAAAAACGATTGTTTTCCCCGGAATACGACGATAAAACCCCGTCCTGAGTGATGAGTTAATATTACTTTAATGAATAACCTAGGGTCTGAGTGCTCGTTAGAGAGACGCTGTGGTGCGAATGGCCATGCACATTCAGTTTTCCCATTAATATCCAATTTTGCAGGATAGAATAGCCTTTCCATTGAGGGAGGGCTAACTGCCATCTCAATCAATCGACGTGGTTTCCTGCAGCTGAGTGATTCCACTCGCACATCCTCTCTTTTAAAAAATCCCACAATTCCCAATAAAAAGTTGACAGATTTCCGTGAATAGACCTTGAGAGCTTTTGCTCCGTTCTCCCGGGAATCATCGGTGCCGCGCTAATTTGCCCGATGCATCAGGATATGTGGGAGAAAAAAAAAGTTATAATTAAAATGAAAAAAGAAAGTAGATGAACGGGAATTGAAAAGGAGGGAGGAGGGTTGGGCGAAGAGTGAAAAGAGGGTATGCGGTGAAAACATGGGAGTTGAAGTGAAGGCGTTGAAGGGAGCCTCGCGAGACGAGGTCGAGAGGGTCACCACGACGCGACGCGTCTGTATACAAGATTCCCTTCTACCGGAAACTCCAGTGGAGGGACCTTGGGCGTATTATAATGCATCGGAAAAGGAAAAACTTTTCTTCCCCTGTTACAAACGCCGGAGTCTGCCCTGTGGCTGTTCTCCAACGAAATATCTCGTCTTTTCTCACCCGGTCATGTTACCATTTAATGAGATGGATATTGACGAAGTTGGGAGTGCTTATGATTTATGAAAGGAGGTAAATTTTAAGGATGAAAAATTTGCATGAGTGGAATAGCTTTGCGCAATATCTTGTCGGTGAATCGCATCAATTTTTCATACTCACTGTTGAACATTTTAGGCTGGAACTTCTGGTACACTTATTTGGAAATTTTGAATGGAATTTTTTCATGGAAAATTGGAAATTTCATGGCAAGATGATTGATCGATCACATGATTCGTCGTTCTCACTGCCAGAAACCTGGCTCGCCTGAATTTCCAAAATTTTCAGTTATTTTCGTTGGCACATGGACTAGGAAATTGCAATACCATTGAATTCTCCAAAATTCAACTCATTTTTCAGTAAAAAAATATATGAAAATTTCACGTGAGTGAAATTTCAGAAGTAATTTTCCAGCAATTGAATGGACACTGTAAATTCCAGTTCAATGATTCCATAAAAATTAATAGAAATCAGGAAATTTTTGGTGAATGCAGTTCTAAATTTCAGTGAAATCTGAAATTTTATTATTTTTCCCCCGTAAATCGAATCCAATGTCGCTCTCTCCGAAAATTGCCTGTCAACTGTTCATGGAATTTCATTTTTTTCTAACAGCGCATTCGAAGGAAATGATGGCTTCACTCATTCAAAGATATAAGACTATTACTGCAACTTAGTACGACCGAGAAAATGGTGAATGATAAAATGAACAATGCACGGTTAGAGCGGCTCTCAAGCGGACAATGAGAGCAGCGTCTTGTAGGAGACACACGAAACAATGGGATGTTACAGGCAATAATGGTGATACTGGTCAACGAGAGCCGGGATAATAGAGACCGGAATATAAAGCGCAACACGAAAGACAAGGGTAAAAAAGGTACGTAAACATGGGGAAAATCAGCTCTCGAGGGAGGCGATATCTCAGACGGGGGTGAGTGGAACGAGGCACAAGGAACCCTCGGGTTTTCTTTTAGTCAACGATCGTGACCAAATGATATGAGGGTTGGATTTTGGGGAAGGCTAAATGGTGAATGACGAAACGCTGATGGGAGTGACCCCGGGGTTCCTTCGCCTTTCATGATATCGTCAATCCTTTTTGGAGTGGAACGAACAATAAGCTTTTCCTCTAAGTTTGGCTTGATGTCATAATATTGTGGGGGAGCGAGTGTCACTTATGAAAAAATTCAATAGAAAATTCTATTGGAATTCTCTAGAAATTCTATGGGGATTCTATTAAAATTCTAGGGAATTCTTGTTAAAATTCCATTTATTCTTTGCGTAGATTAGATAAGAAAAAGTCAATAGATTTCGATTTTTCTGTTTGAATTTTTCTCTTGATTTTGAATTAGTTGGCAATTTGGGGTGAGAGGATGATTTCTGAGAAATATAATATGTGAAAACCGCCTGTTCCTGAAGTTGAATTGAACCTCTCCTATTTTTGTTTCATTTTTCGCTCAATTTTCAATTTTGTTATTTATAATTTTCATAGGAGCTAGACCCCTTTTACACGGCTGATTTGCTTTGACTAATATATCGAGGAGAGATCAATCCAATCTTTTCTAAATCCAAAAAATGAAATCCGTAAATTCCCTTCGGGGCCTCCTGCACTTTGGCATCATAATATGATGTCCTGCGCATGTGCAAGCGGCGCGATAAGCTGCGCAGTAGTGTCACGAGTGAATCGACGTGATTCTGGTGTTTGATTTCTTTTGTGTGATACACATACCGGAGACTTACTGTCTAGAATAATAATATTGTTGCGTTTGATGAAATGACATGAACGGATACGTGATTAATTAATAAAAGGAGAGTTTAAGGCTTGCGTTCCGTCAGATACGCAACAATATTATTAATGAAACATGGAAAATCTTACCAACACCTGAGAATTACAAAAATATAACTAACATTCCGTCATAATCTAAAAACCTTAAGCATGAAATGTCAACTCTGAATGTAATGCAATATCTAAAAAAGACAATGAAGTGAACATTGAAAAAATGGTGTCGGATCGATAACTTGGCGTATTTTTAGCACCAAAAGAGCGTATTTATATGCGATGATAAAGGAAAATAGTAAATGTGAGATGGAGTAAAAGGAACAAAAGAGAGGATGGAGTGTAAAAAATTCAAGATATGAAGGGAGGGAAAATGTGGAGGAAGAGAGAAAGTAAACTCCAATTACGACGTTTAGAGGAGACTCACGCACAGAGGCCAAAGACTCGTCGGGGTCCTCTACGTAAGAGGGTGATGTCCGTGGCAACCCTCAGGGAGCCTGAAGCTATCTCGGGCCTGTCCGTATCGCGAAAGTCCTCTATCTCCCTCCACTGCATAAGCTCTCCAACAATCCCATACCCATACCTACATCACTGAGGCAACCTCGTTAGATTTTCTCCCTTTCCCACTATTCAGTTATATCCGCTTTACCACTCTACATACACTGTGAAAGCATATATCGTGCACTCATTTCCTCATCTTCAGTCCACCTCACTCTCGTCTACTCCAATTTCACTGGGTTCTCCATCCTATTTCCCTCTACAACTGGCAGCCTGCAACAGACGAGTGAGATCTCGTATGTATAAGCGACCAATTAACATACGGGAAATAACGAGTAGCTTTGGAGTTTATATTTTCGGTATAAATGCCAGACCAATTTCCCGTTTTTGGGGGGCATTGCGATCTTCAATGAGGAAGTGATTGAAACTAGGAATGAAAAAATTTCGTTGGAAAAGCTAGCGCATTCGATTGAAAATTCTATTAGGTTTTCGCCGGTTCTATTGAAGAAATTACGCAATTTTATTCCAGGGTTTTTAATAGAAAATACGCAAGAGGAACTATTTTATAGAAAAAAATGAGAAGAATTAAATTTTTCTGTTGAAACCTCTTCTGCAGGAATTACTCGACATCAATCACTCCATTTTTTTATACAAAAATAGAATTTCATTGATTTTTTCAAAAGAATTTGCTAGAGAATTCGCTGAGTTTATCTATAAAATCCTTCCGTACGTGTCAACTGTAATGGATGTAATGGAATTATTGAATTGTCTACAATAATTCTAGTCTCGAAATTGCCGAGTGCAATGAGATGTTTTGCTCAACACTTGAAAAAAAAAATTGAATCAAAGTTTTCTAACATCTCTGTTGTCGAAATAAAAGTGCTGATAAAATCCGAGAAATCGTTTTTGCTCGACACTTGACACTGGTTGAAGCAAAGTTTCTCAATAAAAGTTTTTCCACGATATTCTTGTAGCGAGTGCAGCTAGTAGAGTCACTACACGAAGAGTCCATTTACATAGGTTTACATATGAAACACCGTGGGCTGTACTGGGCCATGAGATAACGCCCCATCTGCATAGAGTACTATGGACTATTATGTACATGCTATACGACAATATCCGAATCTATATGCATTGAAATTACCTTAACGCCGGGAGTATATCTGCGTTGTTAGGGGAGTCGAGTGACTCATATGTATTTCATTGACCTCATTTTCGGGATGAATTGAATCTAATCAGTTGATGGAAATCTGGAGATTTAGGGAATCTCGTATAGTTTCTTATTTATAAGTTTCATAGATTCCTGCAGTCTTGAGGTCATTAAGTTATTCAAGGATGGATTGCACTGTTCTACGCACGAAAAAATTTAATGGAAAAACCTATCGAATGCGTTGGAAAATTCTATTGAATTTCTATTAAACTTTCTATTAGTTTTAGACTGATTCTATTGACATGTTCAATAGAAAACATTCAATAGAAAAAGTCAACTGAATTCGATTTTTCTATGTAAGTTATTCCTTTCATATATTTTCTATAGTATTTGCTCGACTCAAATGTTTCAAGTCTTTTTCATTCTATTTTTCTTTTCTTCTCATTAAGAAAATCAAACGAAAAAACTTGGAAAATTTGAGCCGAGGAAATTTTCTCTCTAGAAAATATCTCCATAGAATAAGTTATATAGGAAAATTGAATTCTATTAACTTTTTCTACTGAATATTTTCTATTGAACATTTCAATAGAATCGGCCAAAAACTAATAGAACAGTTCAATAGAAATTCAATAGAATTTTCTAACGAATTCGATAGGTTTTTCTATTACATTTTTTTGTCCGTGTCACGAAACTTTCAACGGAATTTTATTTACAAATGTTTTCTTTCTACTCTATTTTGCTTCGCGTTCCATAGAAAAAATCAAACAAAAAATTCAGAAAAACTGAATTGAGTTTCTATAGACACATATCTCAACAGAATAACTTGTACAGAAAAAACTATCTCTATTGATTTTCCCCGTAAAATATTTTCCATCAAACATTTCTATTGAAAAAAACACAGATGAGCTGCGGAATTTTTCAACAGAATCGGCCAGAAACTGGTAGAAAGTTCAATAAAAATCCAATAGATTTTTTTCATACGCGCCCATGATGAATACAGCTTCGCCTGTATCGACTCGAGAGACCCGCACCGATTGATGAGCCCCTCGACAGATTATTGACGAACAGCGATTCGAGGATCCTCCATAATTGCTGATGGCAATGATCCATTAACTTCCACTCATAAACGCTAATTTCTGTTTGCTGAATTTTTCGCTCAATAGACCCTCGAATACCGTTCATTAACTCATTCACATTTTACACCTGGTGAATGTCAGATCAATCGGAAGGCCTAAAGGATATTCATCAATAGTCGCACACACTCAAAAAAATTTTGATTTTTTTTAATGGACAATGTTATGTCCTTCGTATTTATGAAAAATTCAATCTACCAACCCAAATTTATTATTCAGAAATCAAATAGACAATATGCGTCGAATGCAGACATTAGCATGAGTTCATACGGAGATTATTATGTTGTCCTGCAGATGGATTATTAATTTGAAAAAAATTCACGAGCGCCCAAAAGTTGATTTCCTATGTTCATCCGTGATTATAAAAAATTGCAGAATTTTTTTTCGAACATGAAAAAATTATATCTTTGGAAAATGAATAAACATCCTTAAACGGTTCCTTTACCATCGACTAATTTTCAATTCGACAGGAGCAATTTTCCTAACGAGTGGCGCGATATCTTCTCCCACATAAATTCAACAAGTTTAACGAGCGTCGCAATGCCCATCCCTGATAAAAACATCCTTATTACCAAATTACAAATGCTAAAAAAAATTTGACTAATGGACAAAGTTATCTCTTTCAAATTTGTTATTCAGAAATAAAACAGAAAATATACGCCGAATGTAGGCGTTAGCTTGAGTTCATATACGGCTTGACCGTTCAATTCAGTACATTTTTTGACATTGCCCTCTATTTTCGTTTTCTTTTTTGTCATAAAAATAAATCTCACGAGCGCCCGATGTTAATTTCCTACGTTCCTCCTTGATTATAAAAAATTGCAGAACTTTTTTTTGGAACATAAAAAAATTATATTTTTGGAAAATGAATAAACACCCTTAAATAGCTCCCTTATGATCGACTAATTTCCAATTCGACAGGAGCAATTTTCCTAACGAGTGGCTCCCACATAAATTCAACAAGTTTAACGAGCGTCGCAATGCCCATCCCTGATAAAAACGTCCTTATTACCAGGTCTGCTTGAGGCACGTACCACCCTACCCACTGTCTCCAGTCTCATATTTCCCCTGCTTTGGTTTCTCTCGTTTTCCCCAGGCTTCTGCTATCCCACATATACATTATCATCTTTTTTTCTCCCTCCCTTTAATACGTAT